CGTTCCGAATCTTTATCCCAAAGTGGAAGCTTCAGTTCTGTGATTCCTTCTATGTCGACTGTTCCCTCAGTTCATACTTCATAATAAAGAAGGGAAAATGGTGGTTTACCGATTGTAAGTTATTTTATTTTTAATAAACGGGAGACATAGTCCCCCACCCCCTTACCAAAAAAAAGTAAAAAGTTAGAGCTAACAGTTGTTATTGATCTTAAGAAAAAGAAGAGCTAACCGGATTCTCATTAGATCCTAGTGAGATTCATCGTAACTATAACATATGTCCTCGTTGAAACCATATGTTTTTACGGAATCTTTGGTGGATTTTTACCGGATGAGACAGATTCTCACCGGATCTTAACCAAAATCATAGTAATAATAATGTTTACGATGAGCAAAAAATAATTAAACACTTTCCTAAACTTTAGAAGTAGAAAGACTATCGATATAAAAGAAGAATGGAGGAAGGAGTAAGAGTGGTGGTTGTGGAGAGAAAGAAATTAGAGAGGAAACTAGTAGATATGAAGATCTTCATTGAAGAATACTTTAATAAATACTTCTCTCATATATTGAGATCCAAAAGAACATTGATTTTGGATATAACTACAGTTTGTTGTTTATTTTGAAAATTGAAATGATTTAGTAGAAGCCCTTGGAGTTAAAACAAACAGAAATTATGGTAAATTGTTTTCATTATTTCAATAATTGTCAAAAAAAAAAACTAATTAAGGGCAAAAATCTTGTCTCTCACTTATTAATTTACTCCACATCAAAATTTATTAAAACTCAAATCACTCTAGATTTCTCCTTCAATTCATACTCTCCCTAGATTTGGTCATAATTTTCAATTTTTTCGGTTACAAAACAATTTTACAAGGCCCAAACTAAAAGAAATTTTAACAAAATCCCGAATTTTGCGTGTAATGTTCATTTCAATGTCAGTAATGGAAACGTGTAATGTTTAACTCCGTGACATCCGTCAAAAGCTTCGTCCATTTTCATTGAAACGGCACCACGTCTACTCATATTCCCACCCGTTTAAAACGGCACCACGTTTCCTTCTTATTTCCTTCTTATTTCTTCTTATTTCTTCTCTTCTTCCTTAAGTTTTTCTCAGTGGGAAGTCAAATCGACGTCTCTTCGTTGTTATCACCGCCATGGAGCAACAGAGATCGAAGAAGAAGAAGATCTCCGATGATCTGTTAACATGCAAAGGAATTTCAGGTCAGATTCCGTTTGACCTAATCCCGGAGATACTCAAAGGGTTACCTGTCAAAACCCTAGCTAGGTTCCTCTCTTTATCGAAAGATTACACTTCCATCATTCGCAACCGAGACTTCATGAAATCGTACTTGATCAAGTCTTCGACTCGCCCGCAAAGTCTCATCTTCACGATCGCTGACAACGGGAAGCATTACTTCTTCTCATTGCTTGATCAAGGTGAATCAACTTCATCTTCTGTACCAACTTACCTTATGAATTGCCAGGATCTATTTAGAACCGTTGCTCCTTCTGTTCACGGTTTGATTTGCCATGGACCTCCTTCTAAACTAATAGTATCTAACCCTAGCACTAGAAGATCCATTAGCCTGCCCAAGATTGATACTCAGAGTGTATCTATATACCACCATATGGGTTATGATCCTATCGATGGTGATTACAAAGTGTTGTGTATGATGAGAGGCATGCATGTTGGATGGGGACGGTATTTAGCTCAGGAGCTTCGGGTTTTGACTTTGAGAAAGCGGACTTCTTGGAGGATGATTGAAGATTTTCCTCCTCACTGTCTTTGTTATGAAGAGACTCCTGATTTGTGTATCAATGGTGTTTTGTATTATGTAGCTATGCTCGACACAGCCGAGAATCATGCAGTCATGAGTTTTGATGTTAGATCTGAAAAATTTGATCTTATTAAAGGAGGACCAGACCATGACTTCCGTCCAAAGCTGACACGCTACGAGGGAAAGCCTGCACTCCTGTTTTCTGGAATTGCTGATTGTAGAATTCATTTGTGGGTTCTAGAGGATGCTGCAAAACATGAATGGTCCAAGATGTCTTATGATGTTTCGTCTACACTAGTTCGCTATCCTTACTTTCATCACTATCTCTTTTGTACTAATGATGCAGGGGAGGTTGTTTTGGCACCCGACTATGTGGTTTCAAAAACATTTGATGTTCTCTATTATCATCCAAAGAAAAATACTTTGAGAAGTGTCGTCATACAAGGAATCAGAGAACTAATGGCTCCACATTGCGATAAGGATCGATATCTTAATATAATATCTGTCTTCTCTGGTCAGGTTGATAATCTCATGTTTCTCTAAGGCGCGCTCTCACCTCTGATGAAATGGTTGTTCTTCAGCTTTAGTTGTGGTTAATATTACTTACTTGGGAGGTTTTTGATTATCTATTGTCTTTTTTTTTTGGTGCAGTTTGTTTATGTTCATAGTATCGATCAGCATGTATTTAATATGTAGACTTTCTGTTTTGAACTTGGGCATATATTACGCTCTTCATCTTCTATAAATTACCTTTTATATATATCTAAGTATCTCATAAATTGATAGAAATAGTTTTCTTGAATGTTATGCTTAATGATCTCAGGGTTATCTTTCATTAATATCCAATGCTATACATGTAAAGGATCTATGAAAACTAAAAAGTAAATCCATTCCTTTGCCTAAGATCGTTTCTTGGAGGATAGATATGTACCATTACTTAGGTTACGATCCCATTTGATGTTCTCTGTTATGATACGAAGAAAAATGCCGTGAGAAGAGTCTTTATAGAAGGTATCACGGAACTGAAGCTTCCACTTTAAGATAAAGATTTTAATCTTATACAATCTTTATCTTCCCTGGGCAGGTTGAGAATCTCTTTCCTCTAAAGAGTGCTCTCGTTAGTCAATAGACTAGAAGACCATGGAAAGACAGAGAGGGAAGAATTTGCATTCATCACTCGCAACAACCGAGATTTCATGAAATCGTACTTGATCAAGTCTTCGAATCGTCCTCAAAATCTCATCTTCACATTCAAAGGCATGTGTTCCGCGAAGCATTTCTTCTTCTCAGCGAGTCATACCCAAAGTCGAGGTGACATATTATCATCTTCTATAGAAACTTACCATATGAAATGTCATTCTGGACCGTACACAACTGTTGCTCCTTCTAATCACGGTTTGATTTGTTATGGACCTCTGTCTAAACTCATGGTATACAACCCTAGCACTAGACGATCCATTACTTTGCCTAAGATCGATTCTCCGAGGATAGATATGCACCACTTCTTGGGATATGATTCCATTAATGGTGATTACAAAGTGTTGCGTATGACAGTAGGAACACATGTTCGTAAGAGACGCGGTTTAGCTGAGGAGCTTCGGGTTCTGACATTAGGTAATATGGGAATTATTGGAGGTTAATAGAAGATTTTCCTCCTCACTATATTGATTTTATTGTAGTTGAGTTTCACCTAAGTTACTTAAAAATTTTCATTATTGATGACAGTTTCAATCTTCATCATACTCTCGGCTTTGCCTCTGGTAAGCTTAGTGTTGGTGAATCAACAAACAATTAAATTATTTAACATGAATCAACAAGTATAAGATATATATTTTGTTTCTAACGTATAATATATTTACTTATAGACACCCGACATTAGTTAGCTACCCAGTCCTTGGCACAACTCCAACTTCGGATTGGTCTTGACATGGTGCAAAACATGCTTAGTCACAAGTTCTCTCCACTGGATCTTGCTCTTATCCGTCTCATCTTTCAAGCAACGATTTATAATATTTTGCGGAAAAGGAATGGAAGACATCACTCACTCAATCTATGATCTATCACATATGTCACAAAAAAGGGCATCAGTCAATTTTCTCACCTAACACAAATTATTGAGAATGTGTGCCAGACCGCATCATCCCACATACAATTTTATTACCCACTTAAACTTCCTTTCAGGTTTGGATTTCTTACCATGTATATATTTATTTTTGCTGAATAAGAAGTTTCCCATTCCAAAACAATAATGTAAAAGTTATCTTGTTGCATTTTATAATGTCATGGGGTTGTTTCTTCATTAATATACATTTGAATTTGAATGTTGATTTATTTATTTTTATTTTTTTGTTAAACAACTTTATATGAATGTTGATTTTTTTTTTCTTTTCACAATTGTACTTTGGAGTGTTGAAAGTTGTATCTAATTATTGATTATTGATTTGTTTTACGATCATTACTTTTAAAATATACAACAAAGATCAATTAAGTTATATTTTAAAATATATAAACACTAATCATTTTTCTCCTGAAAAATATAAAAATAAAAATAATATCGTCTTTTTTATTATAAGAATCATATATATGTTCGCGAAATATCTATATTCTATAAAAGCTAGATCATATCGAAATTAACGAATTTTTTTATCCCGGGCATAGCATGGTTCAAAATATAGTCCAATTTAAAAAGAAGGCCAAAACGGGATTCTTCATTTCTTCTTTGTCCATAAGATAAGCTTTTGCCACTTAGAGCAATCGACACCTTACGTTCTTATCATGGACACACAGAAAGCTAAAAAGAAGAAGATCTCTGGTGATCTTGGAACAATCGGAGGCAACTCATATCCGGTGGTTCCAGTTGATCTCATTCAAGAGATATTCAAAGGACTCCCTATCAAAGTCCTAGCAAGGTTCCTTTGCGTATCGAAAGAATGTTCATCTATCATTCGCAACCGAGATTTCGTGAAATCGTATTTGATGAAATCCTCCAATCGTCCGCAAAGTCTCATCTTCACATTTGAAGACAAGTGTTCCGGGAAGTATTTTTTCTTCTCATTGCTTCAGCCCCAAGATCGAGGTGAATCATCATCATCTTCTGTAGCGGTTTACCATATGAAATGCCATTCTCGACCGTACAAAACTTTTGCTCCTTCTGTTCACGGCTTGATTTGTTATGGACCTCCGTCTAAACTCATGGTATACAATCCCTGCACTAGACGATCCATTACTCTGCCCAAGATTGATTCTCTGAGGATAGATATGTACCACTTCTTAGGTTATGATCCCATTGATGGTGTTTACAAAGTTTTGTGTATGATTGAAGGAAACCCTATTGGTGGGAAATTTGGTTTAGCTCAGGAGCTTCGGGTTTTGACACTGGGAAAGGAGAATTCCTGGAGGTTGGTTGAAGATTTTCCTCAACACTTTCTTGATTCTCTTGATGCTCCTGATATATGTATCAATGGTGTTTTGTATTATAAGGCCTTGCTCGACACACAAGGTAAGAATAAAGCATTCATGAGTTTTGATGTCAGATCGGAAAAATTTGATCTTATCAAACGACCAGAGTTACCTGAAAGGTCTTTCTTGCCTCTAAAGCTTACAAGCTACGAGGGGAAGCTTGCACTCTTGTCCTCTTATTCTCCTGATTATAGAATTGAGTTGTGGGTTTTAGAGGATGCCGCGAAACATGAATGGTCGAAGAAGTCTTATGTTTTGCCTACAATAAATGGCGAGCTTCGCTATGGTTTTTATCCCTTTTGTGTTGTTGATGAAGGTGAGATTTGTTTTGGCCCTCCATTTTATATATGTTTTGCCTACACTAGATGGCAATACTTAACTTTTTTCCATCTCTTTTGTGCCAATGATGCAGGTGAGCTTGTTTTGGCACCGCTAGGTGTGTATACAGACCCATTTTATGTTCTATATTATGATCCAAAGAAAAATTGTGTGAGAAGAGTATACATAGAAGGAATCACAGAACTGAACGAAAATACATATCATAGCATAATCTCTGTCTTCCCTGGTCAAGTTAATAATCTCATGTGTCTCTAAAGAGTGCTCGCTCTTATCTCCATTGAAATGTTTGTCCTTCAGCTGTAGTTGTGTTCCATCTAGTTACTTGAGAGGTTTGAACTTTTGTCTTTTTTTTTTTTGAGTCAGTTTGTTTGTATTCATACTCTCGGCTTTGTCATGGTTTTGCTTAGTCTCTCTCTATTTTGAACTTGTGTATTGCTGTCTCATCTTCTTTAATTTTGTAATTTTCCTTTTCATAATTTGCATTCTTTTAATTCTCCTATTTGATATATATACATTTTAGAAAATAGTGAGCTACGATACAATTCTCTATATAAATTTTGGTATTGTCAAAACAAATAGTTAAAATAAAGAAACAAAATTCTCCGAAACAAAGAGAATACTAAACATAAGCAAAAAGATAGTGAGTTTATAATTCTTCAATAGTTGCAAAGATAATATGAATCAATATCTTAATCCGAGTTTATTCTATAACTCATAGAAAGAAGAAAATTTAGTATAGATAACGTCAATTAATTTTAGGCAGAGCAATCCCCAAAATGTTATCAGTAATACATCATTCCGTTGAAGGAATGATGAAGCAAACCCTCGGATTTGAGTGATCCTTGCCAGTAGCCTTTAAGAAGATAGTAATTCCATTTGAGTGATCATATTCCACTTGATCTCATCCCGGAGATACTCAAAGGAATGGAAGACAACACTCACTAGCTCAATCTATCTATCAAAAATGTCACTTGACATCACTCAATTTTCTCACCTAGGTCAAATTATTGACTATTGAGAATGTGTGCCAGACTGCATCATCTCCCACGTACAATTTGATTACCCATTTAACTTCCTTTCAGCTTTAGATTTCTTACCGTGTATATATTCATTTTTATTGAATAATAAGTTTCACATTCCAAAACAATAATGTAAAAGTAATATTGTTGCATTTTATAAAGTCATGGAATTATTTCTTCTTAATATGATTTTTTTTTCTTTTTTTTTTTGTCTTGAATGTTGAATTTTTTTTTGTCACAATACTTTTTAATGTTGAAAGTTGTATATAATTAATTATTGTTTCATTTTAAGATTATTCTTTTTAAAATATATACAACAAAGATCAATTGAGTTCTAATTTAATTTTTATAAACATAATTCATTTTGTGTAAAAAAAACATTATTCATTTTTTAATATCATCTTCTTTTGTGTGTAAAACGTGAGCCATATCTCAGCTTTTCTTCATTTCTTACTCTCTTCGTCCAGAGGATCAGATTTTGTGACCAAGACTCATCGGCACCTTTGGTATCTTCGCCATGGAAAGACATGGAGCGAATAAGAAGATCTCCGGTGATCATATTCCACTTGATCTCATGCCGGAGATATTCAAAGGGTTACCTGTCAAAACCCTAGCGAGATTCCTCTCCGTATCGAAAGAATATACATCCATTATTCGCAACCGAGACTTCATGAAATCGTACTTGATCAAGTCTTCGAATCGTCCCCAAAGTCTCATCATCACATTCAATGACACCAAGTTACGTTCCTGGAGGCATTTCTTCTTCTCAGTGAGTCAACCCCAAAATCGAGGTGAATCATCATCTTCTGTAGCAGTAGCAACTTACCATATGAATTGCGATTCTCTACCATACACAACTTATTCTGCCTCTGTTCATGGTTTGATTTGCCATGGACCTCCTCCTCATCTCATGGTGTATAACCCTTGCACTAGAAGATCCATTACTTTGCCTAAGATAGATTCTGATAGGTTAGATATGCACCACTTCTTGGGTTATGATCCCATCAGTGGTGATTACAAAGTGTTGTGTATGGTGAAAAGATTGCCTTTTACCGGAGACTCTATAGCTCAAGAGATTTGGGTTTTGACAATGGGAAAGGAGAATTCTTGGAGGATGATTGAAGATTGTCCTCCGCACTTTCTTGATACTCGTTATTCTCCTGAAATATGTATCAATGGTATTTTGTATTATGGAGCTTTTCTGGACTTTGACAAGATTCTTGCAGTCATGATCAGTTTTGATGTTAGGTCGGAAAAATTTGCTATCATAAAAGTACCAGATTTTCCAGAATGTGTCTCGACTCTAAAGCGAAAGCTGACAAGCTACGAGAGAAAGTTTGCAGTCTCGTTCTATGAAAATTCTGATTGTAGAATTGATTTGTGGGTTCTAGAGGATGCTGTGAAACATGAATGGTCGAAAAAGTCGTATGTGTTGCCTCATGGCGAGACTTACCAACACTTTTATCCCTTTTGTGCTACTGATGGAGGTAAGATTTTTTTGGCCCGTATGAAACTTTATGTTTTGCCTAAAAATAGATGACATGACTTAACTTTTTCCCCCATCTATTTTCTGCCAATGATGCAGGTGAATTTGTTTTGGCAAACTTATTTCTTGATCGTAGAACACCATTTTATGTCCTCTATTATAATCCCAAGAAAAATACTGTAAGAAGAGTCTACCTAGAAGGAATATTCACGGAACTGAAGGATATACTTTGGGATAAAGATTCATATGCTTTCACATTATCTATCTTCCCAGGTCAGATTGATAATCTCATGTTTCTCTAAGAGTGCTCGCTCTTATCTCCATTGAAATGTTTGTTCTTAACTAAGTTGTACCTTTGTCTTTTTTTTTTTTTTGGTGAAACTTTGTTTGTGTTCATACTCTCGGCATTGTCCCTGGTTTAGTGTTTGCATCTTTTTTATGTTCATGTAGCCTCTATGTATTGAACTTGTTTATTCGCGATCTCCTAAATATCCCATTTGATAGATATTAAGATTTGGAAGGATACATTTTAGAAAATTGTGAGCTAGATAAAAAGACACAATTCTCTAAAATAATTAAAAAGACACAATTGTTCATGGGACAAAAATGACACTTACACACATTCACACCTCACAAACAAGTCTTCATTCACTCAACGACCCTTACTAATCAAGACAAGCCATATGTCATGCTTAATCTTAGATATATTAAAGCTAAATGCATCTCATTAACTCTAAAATGTACTCCCTCCGTTTCGTTTTAGTTGTCAAGGTTTTCACACACAAATTAAGAAAATCATTAAATTTTTTGTTTTACCCTTTATTAATATATTTTATAATTTTTTCATTGGTCAAAACATTAAAACATTAATGACAAAACATGAATTTTCACCAAACATTTGCATTGAAAACCTAAAACGACAACTATTATGAAACAAAATTTTAATCCTAAAACGACAACTAAACTGAAACGGAGGGAGTATAATTTAGCGTATATAAAGCGTATGCAGTTCAAGGTATATATATACTACATTAGGATCCTTCCGATTTGCGAGTTTTATATAATTTTTTCCCATATATTAATGTTTTATATTTATCTTTATCGTTTAACTAAGAGCATGTGCAGTGGAGAGTTCTCACACAGATTCTCAATAATAAAAAATCTCTTACTAATAAAAGGAACAATTTGGAGCTTCTAAAGCTACCCACGTCAGCTTTTCTAAAATCTCTTTGAAGATGCCACATCAGCTCTCCTAAATTCTACAAGAGTTTCCCACATCAGTTGCCACGTCCTCAAACAAATCATTTCTTTTTTGATAAGGGAAGCCAAATCGTTTCCACTTCCGACTTCCAATTTAGCTTGAAAAAGCGTTTCGTACTTTTCTCTTGCAAAGATATAAACCACAACTTCCTCTTCTTTCGCTCATACTAGATTGACGTCTCAGTTCTCCTGAACTTTAGAAGATGTAACAAATTCGCTTGAAAAGCTCTCTCCTCATGGTTTTTATAATTTCAACAGAGAAATAATCACGTCGATGGAGATCTAGCACAACGGAGCGACGATTATGAAACAGATGAAGCAAAAAGCAACGAGAGCACTGCTCGAGAGAAGTGGAGATGATGATACGCAGATAAACACAGGAGCTTTTTACAATTCAGATGGTGATGCTAATTAATCATGGATCCCCAAATTTTGGTTTGGGTTCTTTTGTCCAGGCTATGGGAGATTCAAATGTCGAGAAACCAGAGTAATAACAGTCGTATGATAGAATCTGAACTCATGGTAAGGAGATTTCCTTTAAAATATTAGTTGTCGAAAATCTGATTTCTCAAATGTGCTAAGTATTATTTTAAAACTTCCTGGCAATAGGTTCCACCAAAAAATACCCTCTTGCCATGCCAGAGATAATCTTCACGCATTGGCTTATGATTCCAATCTTGAGTAAGACAAGTCAAGATTTAATAAGATTGTCTAACTATGTATGTTTCCACATTAATTTTTCTTTTTGAATGTATGTCTTCACTTTCTGGATTACAACACTACTTTCTTTTTTTTTTTTATGACAGTGACATAGCTTTGTGAAAAGCTAAGCTGATAAACCAGCAGATGACCCAAACGAGAATATGCTTGTGAACAACGTTAATAGTTTACTATTGCTCTACATTGTCTGAAAGGCCTTTTGAGTTTATAGCATAAGATTAATTGGAGACAATATCACCGGTTAAAGTACAGTAATTTCTCTCATTCCCAGTTTCACGTTGAATAAAATCATATGCTTTGAAGTAATTTCTTTTCAAATTTCAAGTTTCAGGTCTTGAAAAGCGATGACATATATTTCCGGTTGGTTAAATACAAGATCATGTTCATATGATGGTCATTTAACCTAATGAAATCATGTTACGTTCTACTAGAATGTTAAAACGATTCGGATTATCTCTATGAGATGGTTCAATACGGAAATATTTTTAAAGCATCGATGCCACCCCAAACAAGCTCAAGGTTCATAGAGTATAGAGGTTCAAAAAAGGTAAGGTGATAAATTATATATTGTTCTGGACTTTATAAAAATATTTAGGCTACCCTATGTTTCTACTTCTTTACAAAATTTAAACAATGATTTAAAAAAACAAGATTATGATAAAGACATTAGGGACACATGATATAGTGACTCTTCTTCCTCTATTTTTGCATTCTACGTGATACGCTTTTCACAAATACGACTTAAGGAAATATATTCGACAACCAAGAAAATATCATTTCTACGGTTGAATAGAATTCACATACTAATATATATACTGCCTTGGATACAATGACCTTACATCGAACATTATTAACAATTGTCATCACAATGATTATTCAAAGTAAAACCGGGTTTAAGAAAGAAAGAAAAGTCGTAATGTTTATCCCAAAATAGGATGCTCCATGTTAAAGGGGGGAAAATAGTAAGGATGTAAGGTAAAACTGAGGGAAGACGTATTGAAAATTTTGACTGCTATAGATTTAAGGATTTTCATGTCATGAAGATTAATTAGCAGTAGTTGTGAATGTGAAAATGTTATGTTGATACTAGCATGAATGGAATATGAAACTCATAGGCAGTTTTCTTGGCCTTCAATTTCTAAATCAATCAAAACAAAAAAAAAAAAACACTTTCTTTATTTAATAGACTAATAAAAAATAATTTTTCTTTAAAACTGCAAACAAAAATTTTTATTACTAGAAGCCTCAGATTAATTGCTTATCTTCTTAACTGAACAAAGTTACCAGAAGCAGTACAACATCACATGATTCTTTTGTATGCTTTTGTGCAAAGAACATCACAATATTGTTTGGCATATATCTTAAAGAAACTAAAAGAAAAATTAAAATTCAATTAACTAACTTCAAAAATGTTAAATATATATACCCGGGCGTAGCCCGGTATTTTCTCTAGTAAAAAAATAATAAAAAGTGGGAGAGAGAAACCAGAATCGATTCTCATTTGAGAACATTTGAGAACCTTTGAGAGACTACCTTTACACATGTCATAATATAATTGGTTTTTAGTTTTCTTTTGTTATTTAAAATTAAAATAAATAACTAAATTAAATGATATGTATTAAAATAATATATTTGAGAGACTTGCAAAGTCTCTATGCACTGCACATGCTCTAAATTACCGGTTTTTTTGTCCCGCGCATAATACGAGTCAAATTCCTAACCGTTTTAATGTATTTTAAATATTAAATATTAAATACCAATTTAAAAAGAAAGGCAAAACGAGCCATCACAGCTATATACTTCATTTCTTCTTCTCTTCGTCCAGAAGAAGATAAGATTTTGTGACCAAGACCCATCGGCACTATTCGTCGGTAAGCTACCTATCGGAACCTTAGATCGGATTCCAACTGATCTCATTATCGAGATACTCAAAGCATCGCCTGTTAAAACCCTAGCTAGCGAGATTTCTATGCCTATCGAAGCAATACGCAACTATCATTCGCAGCCGAGATTTCATGAAATCGTACTTGATCAAGTCTTCGACTCGTCCCCAAAGTCTCATCTTCACATTCGACGAGGTGAAGTCAGATTCCTTCAAGCGTTTCTTCTTCTCAGCGAGTCAATCTCAAAATCAAGGTGAATCATCGTCGTCTGTTGCAACTTACCTTATGAATTGTCCTTCTATACCATACAAAAGTTTTGCTCCTTCTGTTCATGGTTTGATTTTCTATGGACCTCCTTCTAAACTCATGGTATATATCCCTAGCACTAGACAATACATTACTTTGCCGAAGTTTGATTCTCCGCGGACAGATGTGTTTTATCCCTTTTGTGTTGCCGATGGAGGTAAGATTGTTTTTGCCGATGTGCACCATTTTATGTTTTGTCTAACAATAGATGGCTTGACCTAACTTTTCCCCATCTATTTTCTGTCAATGATGCAGGTGAATTTGTTTTGGCACCCGTAATCATTCGTGGTAAAGAACCATGTTATGTTCTCTATTATAATATCAAGACAAATGTTGTGAGAAGAGACTACATAGAAGGAATATTCACAGAACCTAAGGATCCACTTAGGGATGAAGATCCATGTCAGGGCACATTCTCTATCTTCGCTGGTCAGATTGACAATCTCATGTTTCTCTAAGAGTGCTCGCTCTTATTATCTCCATTGAAATGTTTGTTCTTACTTAAGTTGCAATTTACTTGGGAGATTTCATGTTTTTTTTTTTTTTTTTTTGGTGTGTGGTAAAACTTTGTTTATGTTCGTTCATACTCTCGGCATTGTCTCTGGTTTTGCTTAGTGTTGCATCTTTTTAATGTTTCATGTAGCCTATCTGTATTGTTTTCTATTCTATCTCTTCTCTAGTCAGGTTGAGAGTCTTATGCTTATGTAGGACCACAAGCTGATGGGCTTGTTCGACATCTGATCAATGTCAGTTAGAAATGTAACCTAACCTCTTTTGTTCTTCCGTTGTAATTACTTGGGCGGTTACATGTTCCTTGTCTTTATTATCAACAGTTTCAGTTAGTTTGAATATCAGACATATTGGCACATGTGTTTGGTATTAGTGTTAAGGCTGCTCGTGTTGGAGTGGATATGAAAACGGATCTCTTATTAAAGTGGATATATATGAATCTGATTTAGCATGTACAATTTAGTAACTCGATTGTCATTTCTCTGTTTTGTAACGGAAATGTTTCGTGGTTATGGTCCTCAGATCAATCACTCTTTGAGCAGAATTGTTGATTCTGAAAATCACAGAAAACAAATTCAATTAACTCTCTTGCTATTTGTAATCAAAGACTCGATAAAAAGATGAATAAGATTGCTTAGAGACAAAGTTTAGGGTTTTGCTCAAGAACAATGAAGAAAATTAGGGTTTTTTGTATTCAATTGCCCATCCACTGAATAGAGGACAAACTCCTCTATTTATACATTATTGAGACGGTTTAGAGATATGTTAGACTTCTAAATTTTCGGGGCCTAATCTTTTGCTTTTCCTTTCTTTTCGCGACTCTCATTTTCTCTTAAAGAAAATTTCCTTTCTTTAAGTAAGGAAGTCGGTTTAGGCGATCTCCCTTCTTCGAGTCGAGATCGCCAAGCGACCTTCTTTCTTTAGCTCATTAACAGGCTAAACCGGGATACCCCGGTTTAACTGAAATCTCAATTTTATTCTTAATTCCTCCGGTTTAAGCCGGTATTGTCGGAGGTGCTAATTCATGCACCAACAAGAATAACTGCATCACATTTACTTAATCAAAGACTTTCTCATTATGATCCAAAGCTAGCAAAAGGTTCATTTGTGCGCCGCAAAAAGAAAAAAGGGTTTCGAAAACGAGCAAAGCTTGCAATGAGCGAAACCAGCGACGCAGTCGTCGAATCAACATCGTCGTCGTTACCTAGGGTTAAAAGACGGAGGAAGAAGATTTCAGATGACTGGAGCACCAACTCAGCTTTGCTTCCAACTGATCTGATCATGGAGATACTCAAACGATTACCCGTCGAAACCCTATTTAGGTTTTGCGTATGGAAGCAGTGGGCATCAATCATCCGCGGCAGATATTTCATGAAAATGTTCCTCGCAGAGTCTTCGAGTCGACCATGTCGTCTCTTCTTCGGCTTCAAACGTGAAAGGGAATGTTTCTTATTCTCGTTGCTTCTATCTCCAAATCCAGGTGAAGCCTGTGTAGCTACTTACAAAATGACACATCCTGCGTATAGCTTCACAGTGAATACTTCCTTTCTTCACGGTTTGTTTTGCTATGGAACTACTGCTTCTTCTGCGAGCTGTGGACTTGAGGTATACAACTCCAGCACCAGAATATCCATCACATTGCCTAGATTCAATCCCCATAGACACGTCTTCAAAAACTTCTTGGGTTATGATCCCATTGATGGTGTTTACAAAGTCTTGTGTATGACTAGACCAGGGACTTGTTTTGGAATGGTAGAAAGTGAGTATTCTTTACAGGTTTTGACATTGGGAAATGGGAATTCGTGGAAGATGATTGACGATAATCCTACTCAGATTCCTCTCAATAGCCACATATGCATCAATGGTGTTTTATATTATGATGCTTATGTTGACAAAGATTTTAAAGAAGCTGCAGTCATGGGTTTTGATGTTAGGTCTGAAAACTTGGATCTTATTAAAGGACCTAGCGATTGTCGGCTTGAGAGGAAATCAAACTCGATGACAAGGTATGAGGGAAAGCTAGCTATCATGTCAAGTGTAATTTCTCCTAATGGTGATATGGTTTTGTGGGTTCTAGAGGATGCAGTGAAACATGAATGGTCGAAGAAGATTTTTATTTTGCCTAATACATGGACAAGTTTAGTTCAGTGCACGCTTACTTATCATCGTTTCGTTAACATCACTGATGCGGATGAGTTTATTTTGGCACCGCGTTCTTTGCTTGTTCCACCATATTATGTTCTCCAATATGATCCGAAAAGACAGCTTGTGAGAAAAGTCGTGATACAAGGAATCACACAGCATTGCAGGAATGACCGTCCTTGTTTGCTATCCTATCTCTTCTCTACTCAGCTTACGAGTCTTATGTTTCTGTAAGAATCAGTAGACCCACAAGCTAATGGCCTTGTTGTTACTTGGGAGGTCTTATGATCCTCGTCTTTATTATGGACAGTTTATTTATCTTAATCATCCTCTTTTATCTTTTGTTGTTAATGTAGATTTTCTTTCTGAATTTGTAATCTACAAAATCTCACATTTGTCCCTCAAGCCTAAGAGCTTGACCTTCTTAGAAAGCTTAGTTGATTATATTGAGTTACTACTGAAAAACACACTCGAGCAATAGCATGTATGTGTCTAAAGCTTAGAAGCCGAAGAGAAACGTGTGCCATTTGAATCATGAGATCCATGAAACTTTCTTCGATTTCAATTAAAAAACGGCACCACGTTTACTCATATCCCCACCGTTTTGATGTTAGGTCTGAAAAGTTTCATCTTATAAATCGTCCAGTGACTAGAACGTTTTCAAAGCTGACAAGCTACGAGGCAAAGCTTGCTGTCATGTACTCCTTTTCTGTTTGGAATATTGGGATGTGAGTACTAGTGGATGCTGTGAAACATAAATGGTCAAGGGAAAGTGTTTTCTATAGAACTCCAGCTGCCATCAAAGCCTTTTGTCTCACACTCTCACTGATGCAGGTGACCTTGTTTTGGCACGAAAGAAAACCTTTGCATGGACCACTTTATGTTGTTGTCTATTATGATCCGAAGAAAAATATTGTGCATGAGAAGAGTCTTCATAGAAGGAATCACAGAACTGAAGGATCCACTTTGGGATAAAGATTCTGATCGTTGGACTATCTTCATCTCCTGTAGGCAGGTTGAGAATCTCATGTTTCTCTAAAGAGTACTTGTTCGTTAGTCAAAGAGGACGATGGCTTCATGGGTTTTTATAATCATCTCTACTGAAATGTTTGTTTTTCTTGTTGCAGTTGAGTTATTTGGGAGGTATCATGACCTTTTGTCTTTATTGGTGACAGTTTTTTTTATATGTTCATAGTCTCCGCTTTGTCTCTGGTTGCTTCGTGTTGCACGTTTTTGATATTCATGGAGTCTCTGTTTTGAACTTGTGCAAGTCTCATCATCTTCTACTGTCTTTTATCTACTTCGCAATATCTCTGATTTCCCATTTTGATCTAGATTTTGGAAGGATACAATTAGAAAACTATGACATATTTCATTTCCTAATTGGGCTTTTAGATATTTGCAGAAACTTCCAATTTGTTTTAACTTTTTAAGTATATTTTGAAAACAAACCTTTGTTGAGTTAAGTAATTTTACAAAGAATGCCATTTACTTTAAAGACATACTATCAAAGACATAAATCTTTCTATTACAAATCGGGTCAATATGTGCCCGAAAATATTTAAACGGATTTTCATTAATATAAGATTTTTGTGGGAGTTGTTTTATGGAAAGATTTTCGTGATAAGGTTAACAAGTATATTTTCATCTTAAGGTTTATAAATATGACTAATAATTGTATCCGGTTTAATTCGTTTCTTTAATTAAACTATTTATTTTTACCAATATAGTAAATTTTAAATTATTCAAATATTTTAAATATTATTATTGATACTTAAAAAAAAAATTAAAATATTATAAATATTAAATATATAAAAAGTTTAAATTAAGACCTGGTTTATTCTGAAGCGTTGGAGAACGCCGGCTTGTTGAACAAAACGCAAACGCTCGTAAAACCTCTTTTCAGTGCAGAGCAAAGTTTTTAATTTTCTCTTTTTTTTTTTTTCCTCTCCGCCATGAAAAGAGAGAGAGCGAAGCTTGAAAATGACAGAGTCGAAACCAGCGATGCAATCGTAGAAACAACACCGGCGTCGTCAAAAAGACAGATGAAGAAGATTTCAGATGACCGGAGCAAAATCTCAGATCTTCTGCCGATTGATCTCAAAATGGAGATACTCAAACGGTTACCGGTAAAAACCCTAGGGAGGTTCCTTTGCCTATCGAAAGAATATGCATCTATCATCCGCCGCAGAGATTTCATGAAATTGTACTTGACAGAGTCCACGAATAGTCCGCAAAGTCTCATCTTCACTTTCGAGAGCAAGACTCACAGGAAGCACTTCTTCTTCTCAGCGAGTCCATGGGAGCAGGAGGAGGAGGATGAAATGTCACCCCAAAATGAAGATGAATCATCACCATCAGCCTGTGTAGCAACTTACCATATGAAATGTCATTCTCAACCATACACAACTGTTGCTCCTTCTGTTCACGGTTTGATTTGCTATGGACATCCGTCTAAACTCATGGTGTACAACCCTAGCACTAGACGATCCATTACTCTTCCCAAGATTGATTCTCAAAGGATTAATATGTACCACTTCCTAGGTTATGATCCCATCCATGGTGATTACAAAGTTTTGTGTATGACAGTTGGAATCCATGTTTATAAGGGACGTGGTATGGCTGAAGAGCTTCGGGTTTTGACTTTGGGAAATGGGAATTCTTGGAGGTTGATTGAAGATTTTCCTCCTCATTTTCTTGAGTATCATTATTCTCCTGATATATGTATCAATGGTGTTTTGTATTATGGAGCTCTGCTCGACATAAAGCGCCCAGCAGTCATGAGTTTTGATGTTAAATCTGAAAAATTTCATCTTATTAAAGGACCAGACCGTGACTTGCGTCCAAAGCTGAAAAGCTTCAACGGAAAGCTTGTAGTCCTGTTCTCTACTAATGGTGGATTTGAGTTGTGGGTTCTAGAGGATTCTGCGAAACATGAATGGGCAAAGAAGTTATTTGTTTCGGATATAGATTGCTGGAGAAATGGTTGTATGTTTCAAGTCTTTTGTCTCACTGATGAAGGTGAGTTTATTTTCGCACCAAGAGAACTCGGTAAACCACCATTTTCCCTTCTCTATTATGATCCGCAGGAAAATACTGAGGGAACAGTCCACATAGAAGGCATCACAGAACTGAAGCTTCCACTTTGGGATAACGATTCAGATCGTCGTTTAATCTCTATCTTTTCTGGTCAAGTTGAGAACCTCATGTGTCTCTAACGAGTGATCGCTCATTAGTCTAGAGGACAATGACCTTATGGGTTTCATGATCATCTCCACTTAAATGTTTTGTTCTCTGGTTGTAGTTGAGTTTTATCTAGTTTACTTGGAAGGGTTTCATGATCTTTTTGTCTTTATTGGTGACAGTTTCTCTGTTTTGAACTTATTCGTTACCCTATTCATCTTTTATAAATATAGAGGTCTACTACCTTATGTTACATCTGGATTGATATATATGTTTATATTTGGTTACATGTGGACTCTCGAACCCTCAAATTTCCAAATTGTGGACAAAGTACAATATGACATTGAACTTTGTGAGCTTGATCTGCTGAGTTCCAAATGTTACTGCAGAACTGAAAAGGTATGTTTCTTGGAATCAGAAAATGGTTATCAAAGGAAACTTTTCTGGGACACTGATTTTTAGCGGTCAAGAAGTTGGATTTGGCGTCGTTTAATCCCTATCTCTCTTGCCTAGTCCGTTCAGGTTTTGCTAGCTGTGATTTTTTGGAACAATGATTGGGACTAATTTGGGCTCTTTGATAGATAAGAAGTATTCATTAGACCTCAAAGAAGGTGACAACTGACAATATCAAACTATATTGGGATTACTTGAATTACAAATTCATTATTCTCAATTTCGAATACAACTTAATCCCCTAATTAAAGGGTGATGTGTGATATGGAGCGTATATGTTCGCTTATCCACTTTTCTATTTTAAGTTGCATTACTCTGTTTTCAATTTTACATTCTATCTAGTGTCTACATAATAACTTAGATGTAATCATTTGCAAGTATTTCTGAAAAAAAATTGAATATATATGTTAAGATTTGAGATCGAATGAGAGATATGATCGATATATATGAAAAGGTAAGAATGATTGGTGTATGATTTTCGTTCAGATTTTTATTTTGATTCTGTAACTCCGCCTAGATGGCTAAATCAACTTTTATGTAATGATCTAATATATTACTTTTGACAGAAAAAAAAAAGATTGGTGTATGAATTACTCAACAATCCCTGCTTCGAGTACTTTAATCGTTAAACTATACAGATCTATTTAATTTTCACATTTTTTCCAAGATCATAATAATTAGTTTATAATTTTATATTGCCCCTAACATTTCTCAAATGATGTTTCATTTATTAATGATTTCTTACAAGTTTGATAATATTGTGCTTTTGAATTTATGAGACCAAGCATCTCTTAGCAACTGTGACTTTGAGGCCATGTTTCATGTGAAGGACTATGGAAGAAGCTGGCTCAATCTTGTGCCCTTCAACGACCTTTATGTCATAATTTCGTATGATCTCAATAGCCACTGTCTTCATCTGCAAGAAAGATAAATTTTTCCCCAAGCAATTTCTTGGACCAGAATTAAACACGAAGAATTTGAAAGATGGTTCATGTTTTAAGCCTCCATTTCTTTCAGAGATCCATCTCTCTGGTTTGAATTCACACGCGTCCTCTCCCCACACGGCCCTCATCCTCCCCAATGCATAGACAGAGAACAAGATCTTCCAATTTGCATCGACTTTGTGTCCACTTGGAAGCACATCTTGTTTTCTGGGAGTCTTTCGCTCGAACGGGATTGGAGCGTAGAGGCGTAGTGATTCACACAATGCACCATGTAAATACACCATCTTGTTTAACTTGTCGGCATCTAAACTCATTCCGGATCTTGGTAGATTTGTGTTGATCTCTTGGCGGATCTTGGTCACAGCTTCAGGGTTCTTGGAGAGAAGCCAAAAGAACCAAGTGAGAGTTGTTGCAATGGCGTCTCTTCCGGCGAGCATGAAACTCTTGATGATGTCTTTGAGGAAGTTATCGTCTTTTGGGTTCAAAAGCTCATACTTGGAAGTATCTAGATTCATGTAGACGCTTAATAAATCCTCTTCACGAGCTTCTCCCCCAATATTAGAATGATGACTTATTATCTCCACTCTCTTTGCAGATATATACTTTGCACATGATCTGTCGAAAGCAGCATTAGCTTTCGTCATCTTCTTCTCTTCTCCGAGTCCGAACCAGTTTTGCAACTTCCACAAGATCAGAGGCTTAACATGTCTATACACAACCACTTCTTCGGCATCATCCATAGCTTTAGCATACTCATTATTTGGCATTTCTATGGAAAGAGAACTCGAGTCATAACCCGTAACCAGAGTAAGGGTTACATCGAATGCTAATCTTTGGAACACGTCTTGTAAATCGAAAACCGTATTCGCCTCTGAAAAATGATCAAGAACCGGGACAAGCCCATTCTTGATTTTACGCGTGATGGTCCTCAATGAGAAGCTTTGAAACCCTTGATGGCTAAGCACAACCAGTGCGGATTTCCTCATATCCTCCCACAGTTTGGAGTCAGCAGTGAAGATCCCATTTCCTAGAAAATCGAACATCTCTTTGAACTCCGGTCCTTTATCATAATTGGAGAAGTTGGAGCTGAAAACATGTTGAATATTTGCAGGATCTGCAGTAATCAACATGTTCATTCCAGAGAACCATGGGCCTTTGAAGGCAAAAGTCAAGTTGGAGACCTCGAGAACCTCTGCGACATAGTCATTAATCATGTGAAGCATGAAGAGCACACCAGGAAGCATCCCAAGAACTGGCCAGTTTCTAGGTAAGATTTGATGGGCTTTCTTGTGGATCAAGAAATGGAAGAAGATAAAGATAAGAAAAGCTATAAAGACTTCAAGTAAGCCTACGTAAGCCATTAGTAGAAAAGGTTTTTAATTTGTTTCTTGGAAATTACGAAAGATAGAGAGATGAGAAACTTTGTTTTGGTTCTTTGTTATATTTATAGTTATTAGAAATTTAGTACCACTTTTTTAATGAGATTGGCTCAGTGTCAGTGATGTAGCTGGCGACATAACTAACTCCAATCTTGTCATCATGGTGTTCTTACCTCGATCGTCCACGTTCAGAACTTCAGATCTGTCAAATGTCCATGGCATGGAGGCGTTATGGGTAAGGCCATGTTAGATATGATGGGGTCACATGAACGAGTTAAACATCAAAGTGCGGATCACATTCTACTACCAATTATTTTAGTCAAAAACAAAGTTTTTGGTAAAGTAGAAAGTTCCGGACCAAAACTCATATATCTCCCTAGACACAGACTAGCATTTAATATTTTTACTCATCCTAATTGTCACTCGATCCTGTGATCTTTTAGAATTTTTTAGGGTTATAATTTTAATTATGTGTAATATATGTCAAAACATTGTAGATTACAAATAATTTTAGATTTTTATGAATACTCAAAATTTTATATTTTAGTTTACCATGTAATAATATAATTTCTTAGTATATAAATAAACTTCTGATTAACTTATACCTCCCATGCAGTAGCACATATAATGGTCTAGTATAGTATATAAATTTTATGAATTTACCAATTATTTCCTTTTATATAAGTTCTTCTCCCCTCACCCTATTTTTTTTTCTCACTCGAATATTAATAAAGAAACAGTGTCATAGAGGACGTCGTCAATTGGTTGATTCTTGTCCTTATCTAATGAGTTGACCCCTCAAAATTTTATGGTCAAGGACATGCTTTTGCCACTTCTCTCATTGACTCGTATATGATTTTACGTTACTCAATTTTTAACAATTCGATTTTTGAGAACTCAAATAGTGAATCCAATGACTCATGGATGACGTTTTATCAATTTTTTTAATGAATTTTTTTTATAATATTGAAAACAAAAATATGTTGTCAAATTTTCTATTTGTAATATAAGGATGCACACTCATCATGCAATCAGCCAATCACAATTTTCAAAAATTCAGTCAAACCGATTTGTCTAGAATTTTACTTGGGAATAAATTTGACAGTTGATATCAGTAGTTTCAATTCCACAGTATTAATAACTTCTGAATAAAGACTCTCCCAATATTTTTTATACAAATAAATTTGAAGTTGTTGAATAATCACGTGTATGTAATTATAGTTAAAATATATGACATCGATTTCAAGTAACTTCGAGTTTACATCAGAATATAAACAATCACAACGAGTCGACAGTGAAATTTTCTGTTTTGGTCTTGTCAACCATATTAGCCGAGTTATTTCTTTGGTGAATGAGTAAAACATGACTAAGTCAAACATGGGAGACCGACTACATGCATAAAAAAATGGAAAACCAATAGCCATATCATGTCTAAACTATGGTCTTTGCCTTTCATTATGATAAGTGCTTAAATTTATGATATGCATGTACTCACCTATATTAACAACTAAAATATATATATTGATCATCCTAACGTTGTTAGTTAAAATGTTAATAGTTCTTGTATTAGTTGTCACGTTAGAATTAACTTACAAGCCAACAACCACGTTATAATTGAGAAACGATGTTTTTTTCCCTCAAATTTCATGTTGGTTTCAATCTCGACAAGACTAGCTCATGGTATAGGCATGCGTTGTGACAGCCAAGGACCCCGAGTCCAATATATATAAACATGTACATTAGCCTAGTTAAAATCAAAAGTATGTGTATTTAAAATACTTTTTCTGGTGTTATCGTACTTCCACAAAAAAATTCTGCAACCTTAACGAGACGTGATAATTTTATTATACTTTCAAAAACTATCCTTGTAATACTTTGGTAAATTTGATTTGAAAGCCCTTTATCAAACCGGTTGATTTGAGTTCACTACTTGTATCTTTTTCAGCTTTTTTTCTATCTCTTTTATTTGCTTTGTAATTTTCAAATGTTGTCTCTTTTGAAAAACACAAGGTCCAGTTAATAATCCTTCCATAAATTTAAATGACTGTTGTAGTATGCTATTATTATATCATTAAAAAGATTTGAGCACAATATCATAAAAGTTAACTTTATTTTCAACTAGAAAAATCAACAGTTACATAATTATTCTAAAAACTCTATTTTGTGGTAGGAGGAGTTGCGCCGGTAACTTTTGAGCATTGTTCCTTTAGCATAGGAGGAAAAAGAGGAATGAACGGAATTTTCGGTATGCAATTGGCTTCAGCTTCCAAAAATGATTTGCAACAAGCAGGACCAATATTACCAAACTTTCCAGTGAATATCGATTGAGAAATTTCTGCAATACATCCTGGAATATCCATCACCGATGACAAACATTTAGTTATATCAGGTAATCCTGGAATATTAGGAATTGGTTGGAATGGAAATGGTAATGGAAAAGGAAAAGGAGCCGGAAACTGTGGTAGTTGAGCATTTACGGAAACCACAATGCATATGATTGTTAGGAGAAAAATCACGTTTTTGATAGCCATGATGAGAAGAAAAAAGTTCTAAGTAGTTCAATATATGATTTTTTCTTGTGTTTGGGTTTGGATGATGAACAATACTAGGATATCCTTAGTTATTTATACAGGAAGAAATGAGCTATGGTATTAATTGTCTTATGAAACGTCTTCAATTTGTTCTTAGGTGTTTTTAATCAGCAGTTTCCCTTTTTTCTAATTTAATTAGCAGTTTCCCTTTTTCAATTTAATTAGCAGTTTCCCTTCTAAAATTGGAATAAAGTACTCTAAAGCCTAAATCGTGCTCTATGATACGAGCAACATTAACTAGTGCAATTTCGAATTTCTGTTAATAATCCTTCCGTTTTGTTTTGATTCTTGACGAGGGTAGGACCGTATGAGTAGTAAGGAATACATGTGATTTTTTAAGTTAAGCAAATAGCTAAGCATTTTGGGGACATAAGGCCATAATGGGATTCAAGTTTAGTTTTAAGAGTTCCTCGCATTCTTTAAATGGAAAATTTTCATATGGATTTCACGTTGTGGACTTTTTCACCATAAACTTAGTATAAACTTAAAAAACAGATTATTAAATAATACTCTCTCCGTTTTGAATTAGTTGTCGTTTAAAAATTAAATTTTATTTTAAATAGTTGTCGTTTTAGGGTTTCAATGCATATTTTTGACAGATATTTCAATTTTATCCATACTCTTTTACCTTATTAATTGATGATATCACATAAAACAATACATTAATTAAGGGTAAAACAGAAAAATTGAATATTTTCTTAATAAGTGAGAAAAAACTATAAACGACAACTAATTTAAATTAAAGAGAGAATTACTAAACCATAGTTGCCCTTGATGAGTTAATTACTGTAGACTTTAGCTAGAGGTTTAAACTTCACAGTTCAAAGTCTTCACAAAGAAAAAGGACAAATCTTTTCCGTCGTAAATTTCTGGTGCAAGACGCAAAACCCCAAGTTTCCACGTGGAAACCACTAGCTTCGTTAATCAATCTTGTGCTTCACTACGCGCCCAACAACGACAAAAACTGTATTAATACTTTAAATTATTTCTACTTAAATTAATTAATTCGTCATTACGGCATATTGGCTCACGGAAAATGACGTAACCATGCTGACGTATTTTCACTAACGTCATTTGCCTTCGACCCTGAGGTTGTGAAGTAACTAGCAATAAGATACACTTAATCTCAACATGCAATAAGATATTAATAGTTAACGTAGCAACTAATACGTCTCGCTATTGGTTGCTCCAATTTTAAATCTAAAGTTTGTAACAAAAGGTGCGTTTCCTACAAAGTTACAGAAAAAGTCGCACTTTACATGAATCACAATGATGGCTTTTAATCGGCATATTCCAGAATTCTTTAGTTAAAAAGTTGATAAAAGATGATATGTAACTAACCACTGGCAAAAAAAAAAGGAAAATCATCAGTAACAGTAACTATTTCGCTATCTGAGAATTGCTTTTGGGAAAATTAGTTCAGTTGCTTTTTAAAAATGCATTTTACCGCAAAGCCGTCTATAGTGATACCCGAATTTGAAATAGTTATTTAATATCTCTTCAAAATGTGATAGGTGTTTGTTTATATATTGATTTGGCAACGCATGCAAAGGTTGGTGTTTGACCATAATTAATTAAAATGTCCTTCTACTTGCCCTATAAGGCTATTAGTATTAGAATTAAAAATAACAATATGGAACTACTTGTCCAATAAGTTTAAGATCCGTAAAAGATAGAATCTGAGCTAGAAGATATCTTTAAAATTCTTTAAATAAAATTTGTCACTTTTTTGTTAGGCCAAAGTAAAAAAAAATAAAAAAAAATACTGATGAGACGTGGTCTCAAAGTGATTTTGGTTGGCTAATCCTTTTTTTGTCATCTGATTTTTATTAAAACTTCAAGATAGGATACAAGGTGAAATACTTAAGCCGGCGGAAAACAAAGATATCCCCGGAGTCTAAAGCCCAAAAGAGGGAAGCTAAGCCGGCGGACAAAGGAAAAGTCCCCGGAGACAAAGTCGGAGAAAAAAGAGAATTCCCCCAAATCTAAGTCTACGCTAAAAACAACATAAACTTTTAAAGCCGAAATCGAAAGAGAACGAAACCAAAAACTAAGAAAAGAGGCAAACTAAAAATAAACAAGAAGATAAACACTAAGTCGAAATAACCAAATCGATCTTCTTCTTCTGAAGTTTCTGCGAAAGAGCTATATCAATGCTGCCCAAGGCCAACCATTAATCACAACTGCTTCCTCCTATCACAATGAGAGAAGATCTCTCGAAACCAAGTAACAATGACTTCATAATCTGACAAGTAAAGGTCCAAATAGATCCTCATTAAACACTTCCAGATGCTGCTGCGACGAGGGTGCGTCAAGGAACGCCTTGATAGAAGTCATATAGATGCAATCCGACATCCTCCAGATTCGGAAACGCAGAGACAAGGAGCGAAACATAACCATCTCGATGAGCTTCGAAATCAAGAACAAAAACGACACTCATCTACAACGGATATCATCACCAGTAACTTCCACCTAAGAGAAGAAAGATCTGAAGCCAAACGACACTAGCATAAACTTCACACAACAAAGGCCTCATCTTAGAAAGGAGACGAACCAAACGAGCAACTATTAGCTAAACCAGGCATTAAGGGTGAGCGGAGAGGCTAAGGCAAGATGAAAGCTAACTACAGAGCTCACACAAGCCAAGCACGCGACAACAAAACACCATGAAGCACAAGAGCGAGTAACAGATCTGGATTTGGGGAAGGCGAAAAACAATGGCTTTATTACATACCCGTCACCGTCGATCTCAGATCCGGCTCCATCATCTTCGCAAGAGCCCTGAACCACAAATCTGAAACACTCAAACCGCTTCCGACAAACACCCAAAATCACAAACCGATCAAACTAAATCGAAACCCCAATCGAAGGCCACAAGATTCTTAAACTTAACACAAAACTAAAACCAAGAAAGGAAAGAACAAAAGGAGGACCGAAGCCGGTGCTAGAGGAGCCACCGTACTCCGGTCACCGATCTGGGCAAACTTGTAAACTTGAGTGAGCGGCGGCTAGGTCTAGTCCCGAGAGAGAAAGGGGTCGAGTTTTTTGAGAATAATTTTCTCTGAATTTATCGGAGTATCTATCCACCGCTTTTTATTTTGGTTGGCTAATCCATTGCAGCCTAAAATTAGAAGCAGTTATATATGCCCGTTAATCTACATCAAAAAAACAAATTGGTTATGAGTGAATTGGTACTTGATATATTTCCTATACATTACTCTAGGTTCTTTTCAACTTTTTGTTGTTGTTGTAAACATTATTTTTAATTTTAGATGTGAAATCTTTTTTCTTTAGATCTTAACACGTACTATTGAAATGATGGTTATTATCGATCAATTTTCAACCGAGTTACACTCTTAAACCGGCAGTTAACTTTGGTCACCCAACTTGGGTTAACAAACTGAGTATTAATATCATTTTTGAAGTTCACGGTTTCTAACTCAAAAATTAATAAAAATTACTAGATTGGCCAATGTTCCTTAAATTTTATTTTAAATCTTGTCTAACTTTGTGAAATCATAATACAGTCCCAAGTTGATAGTTAGCTCTTATCAACTAATATCGAATATCCCACTCTAAAAACAACGATTAATAAATTATATCTACTTGCTTCGGAGTTAGAAGATTTCAATGTTTTAAAAAAAAAATTTCTCGATTTTCCTTAGATTTTATTCCACGTTTAAATAATGTCCATGCCGATTGCCTCGCTAAAAAAGTAAGAGCACGTGATTCCATTTTTTCCCATGTAAGCTCCTCAACACCGGACTGGTTTTCTCCCGTGCAAAACCGTCTGTTTCTAGCTTAAATGGATGATCTTATTTTGCTGTAAAAAAAACAACCATATATTCTTTTTTTTTTTTTTTTTTTTGTTGTTAATAGTTCAAACTCAGCTCTATACCATATTTATTATGAACTTATAACTCAAAACAAACTACAAATAAATGTATTGGTTCATGTCTCATATGTCTCTTCTTACCTTAGATATGGAATTTCTAAAATATTAACACATATAGTCAGAATTAGAAACATGTTAACGAGAGCTAGATTTTCGGTAAGGTTTTAGACCCGGTCCCTCCCCCACCATCATCTGTTGATTCGTTTGCTTCCTACATCCACTCGAAATCTAGCTTTGATAAAAAGTGATTAATTAGTGTAACATTATAATGAAGGGACCCGTGATGTTACATGCATTTTTTACTCGAGGATTTGATTGGACAACACTTCAAATTTTTCTATAAATCCTTAAAAATGTGAAAGTAAAATTTCCCACTTTTATGGGTACTTTATTTTTAACTTAAATAAATGACAATAATAAAGAAAAATCACTTGTCGCTATAGCAATTCTATTGACGAAGCTTCGTTGAATCTACGCACGAAAGTAGCCATGAAAGTTATTTTATTACTTATTTAAAAGCAAATAGACTTTTATTTTATTTTATTAATTATATCATTATTTTTTCTTAGATTTTGCAGTATAAATAAACAGTATTACTCTAACAATATCTCTCTGCCTCTTAGCTTCAACCGCCGGAAACACTAAACAACCTTCTTGGAAAAAAGAGAAATTAAAAATGAACTACCCTTCAAACCCTAACCCTAGTTCCACAGATTTCACTGAATTTTTCAAGTTCGATGATTTTGACGATACTTTTCAAATGATCATGGAAGAAATCGGCCGTGACGACCACCAATCTTCGTCGCCGACTTTGAGTTGGACTTCATCGGAAAAGTTGGTGGCCGCAGAAATCACAAGCCCGCTTCAAATAAACCAAGCTACCTCACCTATGAGCCTTGACATGTAAGTCAACTTTTTATATCATACATCTTAGCATAAAGTTAGTTGTTGATGAATGTTATTATAACAGTGATATTTATCTAAACTGATGATTTTATATAGAGGTGACAAAGATGAGATCAAAAAGAGGAAGAGACACAAAGACGATCCGATACTTCACGTGTTCAAAACGAAATCAATTGATGAAAAAGTTGCTTTAGATGATGGATATAAATGGAGGAAATACGGCAAGAAGCCGATAAGGGGTAGTCCATTTCCAAGGTAAATCATTAATTCTAACTTCCTAGAGGACGTATAATACTTTTATTTGTTTACCATATACTTGATTAGTACATACTTGGATTTAGTTGATTTGAGTATTGCAGTGAATGTTTCCACTTGATGAATTAGAAAGAATGAATCTCTTAAAGCGTAGAATAGTTAAATGTCAAATGGACAACTTGAGACAACTAATATATAGTCGAGGCTGTCAAGTTTTACAAGTTAACTACCCCTCTTTTTGCATTAGGCTAATCGGTTACGGTTAGTTAAAAGACAGACAAAACCTTGTTCATCGGTTTAGTTAGGACTAAGATATATAAAACTAAATTCTAGCACATGATATATTATTAATATTCAAATTTATTCATTGCAGAACTCATATAGTTAATAATTTCACTTTTTAAAATTAGTGTTAGTTTCTGCCTACAAAATCCTATTACATAAATATGAGAATTGTTTTTGACAATCACTAAATTATGTAAAAAGAGCACTCCTTTCTGAGTTTCGACTAATAAGTTGAACATGATTATGTATTTTAAAACCCAATTCACTCAAACTTTAAATGTGTAGGTAGTGGATAATATATAAACTAATTAGTGTTCCCTCTTTGGAGGATAGATGTTTCTTGTCCAAATTCACTATCACCAAAATTATATACTTATGTCTAGGTTTTTGTTAGTGTTACTTATATTTCCATGTGGACCATGTGTCCTAAATACATAATAAGTAGAAGCCAGAAGGCATAAAATCTATTGAATATCAACTAATTGTAATTGTCAGGAATCAACTGGGATATTTTAACTTTTAATATTTTTGTCTATATATGTCCACTTCCCACAAGTTGTAGTATAAGCTTATAACAATTAACACTTGATAATATCATAATTTAGTTATTTGTTGTATGTTACCTTTGATTTCAAGTGGATACGTAAACGACGATATTGTTTTTGTTATGCTAACAATTATTGGACCACGTACACTATATATTATAATCAAACTGTTACATTACAAATCTTGTAGAATCTCTTAAGAGTTATACTAAATTATTGGTGCTCATCATTATCTGAAACAGGCATTATCACAAGTGTTCGAACCCAGATTGCAACGTGAAGAAGAAGATCGAGAGAGATACGAACAATCCAGATTATGTATTGACAACATACGAAGGGAGACATAACCACCCAAGCCCTTCTGTGGTTTATTGTGATTCAGACGACTTTGATCTTACCTCTCTCAACAATTGGTCCTTTAAGACGACAAATACGTATAGTTTCTCTCATTCCGCTCCATACTGATCATTTGTTACAAACTTGTGTATATAGATGTATATAGATGTATATAGTGTATATGATCACCATCATAATCACGCATCACATGTAACCACATATACCTTGTTGGGTCGGTTTTGTAATGTATTGAAGTGGTGGAGGGTGTAATGGAAGTTGATCATCTTGTATGTAAAGGTACTAAGGTATGATAGTAATTTTTTAATAGTATAGTAACTAATTTGTATATGGGATTATGGGCCACTTTAATTACTACAAAAAAAACATAATAATTTTTTTTTTTTTTTTTTTTTTTTTCTTAACATCTAGCTTTCTTTATTAATTTATATTAGAGTTGTACAGATAGTCAACCAGCCAAATTGGTGGTGATTTAAAAATATGATACAACTCATTCATTTCCAAAGCTTGTCGAGCCATCCTGTCTGCTGCTGCATTTTTCTCCCTGTTTACATGTCCCAACGATGAATGTGGTAGCTTCGACGTCCAAACACGAATGTCATATAGTAGAGTACTTAGGTTGAGATGATCGCCTCCCTTGTTAATCAAATGGTTGAGCTCTAAGTTGTCTCCTTCAAACCAAACATGACTGAATCCATGAGCCCAGGCAACTTGAAGAACATGTAAAAATCCCAAGGCTTCAGCTTGAAGAGCCGATGTAGAGGATTGAAGTCTCGCACAACCGGAGAGAATGACTTGACCACGATAATCTCTGAAAATCCATCCCGTATTTGTAAATGATCTTCCTTGAGAAAACCCACTGTCGAAGTTGCACTTGATCCAACCGGTTGGAGGAGGAGACCACTGGCCGTCTCTGTTTCTTCTTCTCGGAGGTGGATCTGTCGATGTTGGTAAAGGCCTTGTCTCTTCTTCTTGTTGTTGACGGAATTTCTAACGGAATTTCTGACAAACGGATTTGTCGAAAATATTTTGATTAAGCATAAGTAGATTTTCAATGAATTTAGTAATTAAAAAAACTCTAAAATAGATATTAAGTTTTAAACATTTGTTAGAAATGTTCGACAAATCTTAAATCCAAATTTCAAAATATTTGGTAAATATTGGCAGGTCAAGGCAGCAATCTTATAAATTTCAAAAGTCCATTAGAAAATTTCAATGGATTTTCAGACGATCGAAATATTTAACTGCCAAAACTCACGAAATACATTTAAATTGTAGCCTATACCATCAAATTTGTTTATTGAATAGCACCACAATATTCTTACACATATTATTATAAAAAAAAAAGACTAAATATTTTTTCGAAGATTAGAAAGTAAATTATGTATTTCTTATTTATTTGTCAAAAGTTGATTCTATTTTCATTTGACAACAAATGCGGTTAATGAGTTTTGTACCGGTAAAGAAATGGCAGGACGATTAACTTGTTTTTTTTAGATGAATTTAAACCTAGTTCTTTAATTTAGAAACTATGGGAAAGTAAGTAAGCCTCATATCTGGAACTGGAAGTAGGCACAAGTTGAAATCCAGTGGACATACTTGGTTGTTTCATACCACCACATGACCAACTCTGCGGTGTTCAAATATTTTATCGATGGTTCATAGAAATAATCAGTTTTAATGTGTTAATGCTATTTTTAATGGTGGAGACAAGCATATGCATGCATATAGCTTTTTGCTTTTCAGTTTTCAGTAACGTTCCCTTGTCATACAACTATGGGCCGAAGTGTTTAGCCTACCTTCAGGTTTATCTTAAATAGAGTAAAAGGCCCATCTAATTTAAAGAAAGTCCATAAGAATATGAATTTTCCATTCAAGTCAACAAGATACTTTAAATTAAATAGATCAAAAATCTAAATCGGGGATACATAAGCTACGTGAGTAGTATCACAAGAGCAATGTCTGGCACTCCGGGTTTTATTAGTTTTGAAACTTAAAAGATGTGTAATACAACACAAAGAGAAAGAAACTCAACAATGTCGCCAGGGCCGGTCCAACGTTTTCGGATGCCCTACGCAAATTAAGAAAAGCATACCTTTTTTCCATTTTTATACAAATTTTTTTTTAACCTATGCTCACTTGTTAAATTTACTTTATCTTTTACATTTCTTTAGTAAGGTTAATTGATCCTAAACTATTAAAACTCTTTTGTAAATTAACTCTTCATTAATTTGCTGGAAATTTTTTTTTTAAAAAAACTCTTTATTTTTAATAAAATTCACATATTTATCAAAAAATTATCTTAGAAAAAGAGTAGATTATACACAAAATTATATTTTGTTAAGTTAAACCCCACAAATATGATTGAAAGAAGCCCACCAAAATATTGATCTTTTAAAAAAGAGGTTTATAATATAATTTATATATATAAAACTTTAAGAAAATTGGCCTAAAAAATGCCCCCAAAATTTTGATGCCCTAATCCTTTGCTTCACTTGCTTGACCTATAAGCCGGGCCTGAATATCGCAAATGAGCCAAACATAGGTGTAAACGTCATAGTCTTGACTCTTGACCAATTATGTACAATATGTATTGAAGGCTACCTGCCTACCTCCATCCACTAGAGTTCTAACATGCATAGCATAGCAGGACCAAAAATAATGCTTCAAATTCTGAACGAAGTGATGAAATATTTCGATTTTGTTTTGTTTGGACGCCTAGAACGAAACCCTCAAATTCATTGCTGAAACAAAACCATCTTAAACGGGTGAGAGTATCTTATGTTAAGAAAAATAAAATCAGAAATTATTATAACAATAAAATGTTTCCTATACGATTTAGCTCTTTGATCTCTTACATTTTTATATATAACTGAACGATAAGATTTAAATAATTTGTAGCACTTCTGTGCATTCCTATTCGGGCTGACCAGATTAGCCGATAGAACAAAAAAACAATCTTTGGTATAATCTATTTTATAATATAAAAATTTTAATGTTCGAACCAACGTTTTCTTATAAAAAATTTAAAATTATAAAATGTTAAAATTTTAAAACCCATTAAAACTGCAAAAAGTATTTGTAATATATTTTTGCAGGTATCTTGTTTCTCTTTTTTTTTTTTGCATCAGTACAGTATTTTGTTTCTCTTAAACCCATAATTACAACAAAAATACATTATAAGTATATAAATTGGTATATAGTTTGGTGATTTTCTTTTATTATTAGTCGGATTTATTTTACTGAAAATAAAAAATTTGATACTACATATATAGAAAATATTACACATCAAATATAAACAAACTAGATCATGACCCGTGCTATACAGCACGGGATTTAATATTTTTTATAAATTAAATTGTATATTTTGTTCGAAGAAATAAGGAATAATATAGTATAATAGTATAATATAAAAGAGAATATATCATAATATTTTATATTTATTACTATTTGGATATAATGTTATATATTTTATTTGACTAAAGAAGGAGAGAATATTGTATTTTTGAATTTAATATATTTAGCAGCAATAGATTTGTATTTTTTTATATGAGATTAACAATTTCTTTGGTTCAATTAGGAATTGATAATTTTATTGTGTGATTGTGAACAAACAAAAAAATAGTTGTATTGGATCTATGTTTTTTAATGGATTATATTGGGTTTGTGGGGCCTAGTTTCATGGTTTAAAAAAAGGAAAAAAAAAACGGTTTAACATACCTTTGGAATTTGCTAATGTGTTCCTATTTGATGTCTGCTTGAATTTTGTTACCCTGTAATTAAAATAAGATGACTTAAAACTTACTGCACATATATTACAAAGAAAATTGTATAAAATTTCAATGGTACTTACAGCGTCATCTGTCAAAATCATTTCCAAAGACATGCCAGAACCTTTTGTAAAATGAATCCACGAATGAAGTATACTAACTTGAATATAGCAAAAAGTCTTGACAGGCTTCAAGTTGTTAATAGGAGTGTAGGGACTAAACATATCCATTTCTGTTGTATTTTTAATTGTAGGATATGAGAATGGTGCTGACATGATTTCGGTGAGAAAGGTACGTCAAACCTAAATGGATATTTATAGTTGTAGATTGTTTGTGATAATTAGGAGATTTAGAAATATATTAATTAGCATAAAATAGTTAGATAATATTTTAGAAAGGTATATTCTAGATTATTTGGAATATAGGATCAAAATTATATAACAGAGAGATTTGACAATCTTTAGAAGAGATTTTAAGGAAACTGAATAGCTGATTATATTGATGCGTGATTAAGCTAAACAAAAAACGTAAAACTAAACAAAAAAACGATCTAGAATATAACAACTATTATAACTTATTTTTTTTATAAAGGGTTTTAAGGAAACTGAATATATTCTCAAAGATTTTAGGGAAACTGAATATATTCTCAAAGATTACGAATTGCTTGAATACAAATTTATATCTAAACAAATATAACAACCTAATATCTTTAAGATCTTTAAACCCGTTTTTCGTTATTTGACCCGTTTTTTAATTAATTTGTTAATGTTAGTGACATGGAATTAAAATGATTATGATTAGAGATCTCTAATGGCATATATTATAACTTCTTACAAAATTAACGTTACGACTTATAGGATGTACTTCCCAAATAATAGTATAGGATTTGCCTTATTAGTTTGAATTGATTTTATTATTTACGAAATCTCCCTAATTAATTAATTACAAAATTATGTGATTATATTGTTTAGGTAGTATAATTAAACCCGTCTGATGACCCAATGACCCGCGTAATTAAAAAATGAATATACTACCTAAACAATATAATCAACTGAAGTCAGAAACAAAGATTTAGGAAACTGAAAATATTGTATTGTTTAGCTTAATCAAAAACAACGAAATTGATGATAACAGATGTTTAGGAAACTAAAAATATTGTCAAAGATGATAACAAATGTTTAGGAAACTGAAAATATTGTCAAAGATTACGAATTGTAGTTGAAAATAAATTTTGTTTAGATATAAGAACGTAGACACATTTTCAATTTTTAGTAACATTTTCAAAAAATGGAGAATTATATAACATTTTCAATTTATATAACATTTTCGAACTATATGAGTATTATAATTCAAAATAGCATTTTTTATTTCTTATAAATTGGATTGGTATAAAATGTTTTCAATGATATATCATTTTCATTAACATTTTCAATTTTCAATAACATTTTCGAATAATATATTAGTATGTTAGTATATAACATTTTTATATATTATATAAACAAAATATTTTATGTATTATATAACATTTTTATGTATTATATAATCTCGAATATTGATTAGTATATAACATTCTCGAATTATATTAATTATGTATTATATAAACAAAATCTTTTAATATCTTTAAACCCGTTGACCCGTTGATCCGTTGACCCGTTAATATATATTAGTGACATGAAATAAATTTTATGATTTGAATTATATAATGGCATATATTGTAATTTCTTACAAAATTTAAGTTATGATCCTTAGGATGTACTTCCCAAATATTAGTATAGGATATTATATGTTTTCTTTAACAAAAATAAACAAATATTATATGTTTTGACAGCTACATGATCTGTCTTGTCAACGACCAGTGAAGATATGAGATATTGTGAAGGCAAGCACGATCTGGTCGACACCTTATCAATAAATGTCAAAATGACATCTCCATTATCTTTATTTTTTTTTTGTCATCTAAGATTGATTTATATTACCATTGAGGAATACACGGTGAATTACAACGTAAAGCCGGCGGAAAACAAGATTTCCCCGGAGACATAAATCCAAAAAAGGGAAGCAAGGGACTGAAACTACAAGGCCAATAGAATACGATAGAAGAGGCTAACCATAAACAAACCATACAACCACGACAAATTGGAAACATACTAAACCGAACAAGGGAAATACTAACTTCAAGAAATCCTTTGAGAGAACATATCGAAGATGCCCGCGGCCAACCATCGATAAACGAAACCTCCTCGAAGAATACCAAACTGCCTAAAAGAAACAGAACTCCTATGCTAAGCTTCATAACCCGGCAAGATAGAACCAGTCATAGTTCCTCACACTTTCTTCCGGATACAGGGTTGTCGTATACAAGGCGACAAATTTCACACCCTAAATAGAAGCAACATACCATAGGACCAGATCTCGATCAGATCTGAAAAGCAGAGACGAGGAGAGAAAGATCCAAATCGGGTAACACCAATCTCGAAAATTCGAGAGTAGTAGAAGATCGAACCAGAGTGAATCCAAAGAAAACTCCATTAGAACAGAATTTAACCTGCAGGTCTAGCAATCACCAAAGTCGAAACAGGAACCAAACGTACGTAGAAAATGGAAGCCAAAACCTCTATCCAAAACAGTAAGAGATAAAGTAGTAGTCACACTTCAAAAACCGGTAAAGACGTCCTTTTCCGTACACGAACCGTCGGAAGAGAAGCAAAACAACCCAACTAAACCACTTAAACTGTCACGGCCTACACTTGAATTACACTTAGAGCGAAAGAAGCTATATACCCGACAAAGGAAGCTCAACGCCGTAGATCCGCAGGAACGCACCCGAGACCAACCAAAGAACTGGGATTAGACTCCGTATCCACCGGTGAAAACGATCCAAACCTCTTCAAATGTAGATGGACACCATTGGCGAACCACTACACAGAAGACAAAAGCACAGATCTACAAAGACACGCCAAGCTTAACCATTAGATCCGCCGAGCCATAAATCCAATCGAGACCATACGAAGACAAATCTTAGACTAAACAAGGGAATAAAGAAGAAAAACAAGGAGACCGGAGCCGGTGCTATGGGAGCCACCAAACTCCGGCCACAAATCTGAGCAAGTTTTGGTCGGCGGCGGTTTGAGCTTTTCACGAGAGAGAGAGAAAATTCTTACATTCCAACTTCACATCTCTATTATCTAATATCTTCTTTTTATTTAATTGCTTTTTCATACTTTTTCACCTTGAGGGAAAAAAAAAAAAAAAAAAAAAAAACTTTTTCACCTGTTAATTATCTTTCTTTTTTTTTTTTGGGCAAAGACCTGTTAATTACCTATTTTGTTTCTTATCTGGTAAAATCACAAAAAAGCTCTACTAGTTAGAAACTGAAAACAATTCTCCCACTACGTGTGTTTATCTTGTTAGTCATAAAAAAGAAAGTTACAAAGTTGATCCTCTCATATGATTTGATATCATGTTTCCTTATAAAAAAAAAAGTTTCTTTGAGGTGTAATAAAATAGTCGATAATTAGTTAATTACAATTTTGAAACTTTCAACGATAATTTAGTTTTTAAAAATGTTACCAAGACTACATAAGCGAGATGTCCACACGTATATATTCATTGACTTTTAAGTCATTGGCAAAAAGAAACAAACAAAATTCATATACTAAAATTTATTTGCAATTTTTAACAAAAAATAACTATTATTTTGCCGATCATGAGCTAATTACTGATGACTCAGCGACCAAATATAGACACAATTTAATTGACAATTGTCAGAAAAACAAAAGACAACTCAATTCTCCTGTAGAATCAATGATTGAAAAAAATAAAAAAATTACTGAAGTCTATTTTTTTTTGTCAATAACAATTTAATTAAAAAAGGAACTTGGGTTTTTAGATTCGTATTCGTATTCGCTGGCTTGGCCTAACTATTTGCTTTTAGTTGGCAAAGGATTCACATGGCTTCTCTTCACATCAACCAATATCATAACACGTGATAACTTCTTCTTCTTTTTTGTCCTTTTCCTTTCTTTTTTTCCTCCGAGAAGACAGAAGAAGAAGCAAGATCATCAAGACCAATCTCGTAGACTTTTTGTCTCTGTCCAAAAACCAGAAAGAAACTTTCTTGGCAAAAAAAAAGAGAACAATCTCGTAGATTCTTGACAATGGATTCTTCGAAGAATAGAACATTGCTTAAGGTCATTGTTCTTGGAGATAGCGGGTAATAATTTCTCAGAGTTCTTAAAGATTTTTCAGACTTGTCTCTTGTTCTTGATAACCATACAAAGCGAGAGTTTAATTTATTTTATTATTATGTTCTTTAAAATGGAAAAATTAAGAACTTTCTTGCCTCTGTTTTCTTTTTTTGTTCTGAATCTTTATTTATATGCAGGGTAGGCAAAACTTCATTGATGAATCAGTATCCTTGTTTAAACCCACCTTTAAGCTTATAAATTAGTAACATATTTGGGTTTGGTTTTTTAGTTCAATCTTTTATAGTATGTGTTAGATCTGTGTTTCTGCGGTAGCCTTGACTTGCGACTTAAGATATGTGTACAAGAAATTTAACAAGCAATATAAGGCTACGATCGGAGCAGATTTTGTCACCAAAGAGCTTCATATAGAAGAAAAATCTGTCACTTTACAGGTAAATTGAGATACATCATCCTTTGTTTCACAATTTTATCATTTTTCCATGTCAAAATCTTAGAAACTCTATTTTAGATATGGGATACTGCAGGACAAGAGAGATTTCAAAGTCTAGGGGCCGCATTCTATAGAGGTGCTGATTGTTGCGTTCTTGTGTACGATGTGAACAATCTCAAATCTTTTGAAACTCTCAATAACTGGCACACAGAGTTCCTCAAACAGGTTTTGCCCTAATGTTCCATTTCTTGTGCAAGAAGTTACAGCTACCACCCAAATCTAACCGTTTCGATTCCATTTTCTGATATCTTCTAGGCAAATCCTATGGAACCGGATACATTTCCCTTTGTTTTAATCGGGAACAAGACCGATGTAGATGGCGGAAACAGCCGAGTTGTAAGCCGATATTATCTCATAAATCTCCCCTTCATCAAAACCATCAAAACCCTAACTTCCGCAATTCTACTTATGTAGGTTTCAAATAAGAGAGCCATCGAGTGGTGTGGCTCAAAGGGGAACATACTGTATCATGAAACCTCTGCGAAGGAAGATACCAATGTCGATGAAGCTTTTTTGGGTGTTGCACACATTGCTCTCGCCAATGAACGTAAACAAACCAATGACATGTGAGTTTCTATAACAATTCTGTTTCATATATAGATCTAACTCTTTCCAATTTTTCTCTAAGGTTCATGTTGGTTTTTGAATTTGCAGATATCCTAGAGGCGTATATGACTCTGTTACGGATATTATTGATCCAGATCAGACAAGAGGTTGTGCTTGCTGATTCATATTTAACATATCTGATCAATAATATGGAGTCCCAGCTCTTTTATTTTCAGTCTTTGTTTTTGGTAACTTTTTTTATTCATTGGTTCAATATCATTTATAGAGGTTTACTAACGAAAAAATAACCAATTGATATATGCTACTTTCTGAGTGTTTTGATTCATGTAAAACATTAATTACTTTTAATTTCTATAAAACTCTTCGTTGAGACAACTTATAGTACCATCACCAAATCACTTGGATTTGTTCTACGTATGGCTATAATTAGTACTACTACCTTTGATTTTTCCTTTTGAAACCGGCATTAAAAACCAATCATAGTTTGGTTTAGAGTCTTTCCGCCTCTGCTCAACTACTTCTCCTTAATGCTCCTTTTTATAGGCTCAACAAATTTTGTATTTCTCCTTAATGGTCTTTTTTTATTGGCTCAACCAATATTTTTTTGTATTGAAAGTAAGAAAAAAAAAACTCTTCTTCCCTCTTGTGAACATTATCTTTAAACCAAAAAACAACAACCAACTTTTCTCTTTAGCTTTTAGTTGCAACTCATTTTCAAACATGTCTATTTTGTTAAGGGTTATCTGAGTTTTCAACTCAAAAATCAATTGAGAATTAGTGATCAGTTTCAATATGGGATTTCTAATTAACATGTCTTTTCAAGATGATGGTTTCTCTGATCCATTCCCGAGTCGAAGCTTACTTTTATAGAATTTGCAACATATCTTAGTTTCATCCACCGATAATCAATTTTGTGCAAGTTGGTTGCAGAAATTTTGGTGTAGCAAAAGTAGGTTTAAACGTTGTTGGAAAACAAACTTAACTCATAGTATTGTCTTAATGGGCATGATTCCTCCTATCAAGTTCTTGATACAGGGACAAATTCTTAATGAACTAGCATTGTCGAGTTTTGTACCAAGTCTGGAAGCAGCAATGCCCAATTTGAGGTATGATGAGCTTGGAAAGATGGTTCAAGGAGTGAAAGTGATTTTTTTTTGGAGAGAGTACTTGGAGATCATCAGGAGGCATATGTAAATAATAAACATTAATTTTCAGATATTCAGTTTGATATACTGGAGAAGTAACTAAGTTTGCCCTTCAAAATGCTTGTGAATCTCACAGAATCTGCTTGCAATGTCATTCATGTAAACCATGAAAATGGATTGGTAAATTAAGGCAAAATCTTGGTTTGAGGCTGATGAGTCTTCAAGGCATGGGTAAGTCTATGACTTCCTCACCGGTCCTCTTACCTATTGGCAAGCTCTCATATTCACTGTTCTGTAAAAGGCAAAAGAAAAGGCTGAAAGAGCAGAGGAGAAGGCAAAAGAAAAGGCTAAGAGAGCAGAGGAGATGACACATCCTGGGATAGTAGGCGGGTTGATCGTTGGAGGAGTGATGAAAGTGATTTACTTGTTGAGTGAGAACGGGGCTAGTTAGATTCACAGATTGTGTTTGTGTGTTTGGTTTGGTTTTGGTTTTATTGAATTGTTTTGGTTAATTTTCTCGAACCGAAATAATTTTATTTTAGCTCTAGTTCGCGTTAAAAAAAAAATCCCGTATGGGGAATAGATCTCAGCCGTTGATCGTAATCAACGCTGTACAATTACTGCCTCTGCCTGTTACTTGTTCTGCTCCGTCGCTCAGATAGGATCTCAACAACACACCACAAACCCTAAATTTCGTCAACTCCACAGCGACAGCGACTCGATTCGATCAAGAAATGGCTTACGCTTCTCGTTTCCTCTCCAGATCTAAGCAGGTCTATACTCTCTCCCTCGATTCTTCTGATTTCTTTCAATCCTTTCCTTTTGATTCTCTTCTTCGCTCTCTTTGATTCCTTTTCTGTGTTTTCTCCGATTTTCTGGGTTTCTATGTGTTTCGATGCGATAAGTAGAGTGAGATTATTTGGATTTTACCGTATCTATCACCGAATCACATCTTAGGGTGTGCCATTTCGAATTTTTGTTATCGTCTCGATCGGAGAGTTTGTTGAATCGAATGATCAATTTTTAATGGTTTTTGCTACTCTGCTGGTATGATATCGATTTGCAAGAAATATTTTTTCATCAAAAACTTTTGATTGACCAATACATTTCTGATTTCATGGATTAGCTTTAACTTATCTTACTCACGTTATGCAGTTACAGGGGAGTTTGGTCATTTTTCAGCAGCACAATGCTATTCCAGTCCGAGCTTTTGCAAAGGAAGCTGCTCGTCCAACCTTTAAAGGAGATGGTTTGTGAACAAAACTCATACCTTTGATTTGTTATTATGCATAGAACATTACGCGCTTTCAATAACACGCGCAGTTGATTTGCTTTGCCTTGTTTATCTGATCGTGTTTTTGAGTTTAACATCGTTTCTACTTAAGAATATGTCGAGTCGCTTTCTCGATGTGAATTGTGTAGAAAAACTATATTGGTCAATGTAATTTAATCTTGTGAACCCGCTAGGACTGTTGTTCTACTTACTTCTTCTGTTGAGTTTATATGTATCCAGTTTATGATATGTTTAATATGTTGCTGAAATCTGTAGTATGTGTTTAGAGTGAACAAGCATTTTGCTGTTTAATATTATTGACTCAAGTTTTACACTTTTTTTACAGAGATGTTGAAGGGTGTCTTTTTTGATATCAAGAACAAATTCCAGGCAGCAGTTGATATTCTCCGTAAGGAAAAGATCACCCTTGATCCAGAGGACCCAGCTGCGGTAAAACAGTATGCTAATGTTATGAAGACCATCAGGCAAAAGTAGGCCTCTCTTGTTACTCTTTTTAAGATGTTTGTTATTTAGCTTGAATGAATGTTGCTGTCTCTATTTCTGGTTGTTGGGATTTCTTGGTTTTAATTTTCGATTTCCCCGAAGATTTCCCCTTATGGGTCAGAGCTACTATCATATTTCTGTTAATTTGATTGCTTGTCATGCGTTTTTTCGGTATGCAGGGCAGACATGTTCTCAGAATCCCAACGCATTAAACATGACATTGATACTGAGACTCAAGACATTCCAGATGCTCGTGCATACTTGTTGAAGTTGCAGGAAATCCGCACCAGGTAGGTGTTAGACTTCGAATTATTTTCAGTCATCCTTTTGGGTAGTTTTCCCTCACCCGTCAACTTGCTTTTCTTATGTTACTAAAAGTAATTCTATTATACTGGAATTATCTTCCTGTAATATCTTGAATTTGATTGTTAAGCAGTTATTTGAAAACTGCATTAAACTATCTATCTTTTCATCTCCCTCTTTGCTCTGCTATTGTTTGCAACATATGAAGAATTGTTGGAAGCAGTCTTTAGTTATTCTTTCACTTGTGATAAATCTTGCAGGAGGGGGCTTACTGATGAGCTTGGTGCTGAGGCCATGATGTTCGAGGCTTTGGAGAAAGTCGAAAAGGACATAAAGAAGCCTCTCCTGAGAAGCGACAAGAAAGGAATGGATCTTTTGGTTGCAGAGTTTGAGAAAGGCAACAAAAAGTGTGTCATCATTCGTCAACCACCCATACAAAACAAGAACAAATTTCAATGCTCCTATTGATTTGCATATTATAACTAACATACATATTTGCGTCTTATTAATCTGAACAGGCTTGGGATTAGGAAAGAAGATCTTCCTAAGTACGAGGACAATTTGGAGCTCAGCATGGCCAAAGCACAGTTGGATGAGCTGAAGAGTGATGCTGTTGAAGCTATGGAATCTCAGAAAAAGAAGTGAGTTCTGTTTTTCTTTTCGTTTCTCAATTTAATCAATCTTTGATCTCAATCATGTTATAACTCGATGGAACTTGCGGACTTTTCAGGGAGGAATTCCAGGATGAGGAAATGCCGGACGTGAAGTCTCTGGACATCCGTAACTTTATCTAAGGTTTGATCCTTGGAAATATTTGATTTGTTGTAAGAAAAGGCAGAAGAAAGATCTCTCACTTGATTGCCTTTGAAAGAGAAGATCGTTCCCTTGCTGTTTTGGTTTGGCGTTCAATAAGGTCCTCACCTGGATTTGAGTCTAACTTTCTCTGTGGTTATTACGCTTGAGATTCTTAGACACAAACGTTGTTTCATGTTTTTGATAATGGTGATAACTGAAATTCGAGATGATTAAATAAACGTTAATGTTAAATCGAATCAAAAAGTGTGGCAAGCAAAATCAACCCGAAAACTAAAAGGCATAATTGTATTTATCTTTTATACTTGGACTAGTTGCCAAAAAAAGGATTTTGAAAAGATAATACAAAATTTGATGATCATTGGTTTAATAAATTGGCTAGTGAAATGTAATTATTGCCTTAACCATAATTGGAGGGTTCTTTGGTTTTCTGGGCATCTCTACGCCTTTCTAAGCGAAGACCAAGAAAAGTTTCAAGTTCTGAGACCAATCATAATTGAACACGTGGCTTAATTGTGAACAATTATAAAAGGTATGTCTGAGAGAGACGTTAACTACTGTACTCTTCGCCATGGCGAATTTTCTAAAAGCTCCTTCTCTTCCGGGAACGAGAGAGTGTTCTTCCTTCCTTAACCGGTTTGTCACTCGTCGACCGGATTTTGCTCCGGTTAATTCCTACCGGAAGCCTCGTCTTGCTTTGAATGACACATCGTTCTCCAAACGAAGAGTGGGTCTCCGCTCGCGAACCATTGTTCGCTCGGTTTTGGAGACTGAGAAGAGTACGAAGATAGAAAAGCCTGAGCCTCCGGTGAAATTGATTGCTCTCGTCGGAAAAGGAGAAGTAAGCCCACTCAAATCCACCTCGTGGGAAGAAGTTATGCTCCACACTGTAAGTAATTGTCTTCTCTCTCTCTCGGTAACAATTGTTGCAAATTCCTCAACATTTAGGTTTCTGTATCGTATAATCTGATTACAATTGCAAAATACGTTTTTTTTTTACATTAACAGGCGAGAAGATTGAAATGGGTTGATGAAGGATATGAAATGCTTGTCTTTGATGATGAAATTCTGAGTTCAAATGATCAGATAGCTATGAATCTGACACAGGAACTGAATCAGACTGATATCTTGGTTGTTGTTGCTGTTAATAACTCAGAATCTGTGAATTGGATTCAGAAAAACAGCAGAAACGTCAAGAACTTGATTTGCTTCGAGTCTTCTTCAAATTTGATGAACAGGCTTGGAGGGACTGATATTGGAAGTGTGAATAAAGATAAAGAAGTAACAGAGGTTGTGAAGACAGTTGGAGATGCTTGGGAACGTCGTAACTCTGATGATATAAGGTTTTGTTTGCTTGTGATTATCAATGCTTATATAAGACCAGTTCCTGTGTTGCAGAACTTGAGGTCCAAAGGGTTTTCGACGCTTAGTTGTATGGTTAAAAACTGTGGACCTCAGATTTTGAACTGTCTTTTGGATCCGAATTGTCGAAAAGCTCTTCAGTGTTTGAACCAATGTAGTCCTGTTGATCAGGTGTGTAGCTACAGATGCATTGCGTCTTATGAGAGTCCTTACTTTGAAGCATTCTCTCTTTGTGTACTACAGAAACACAATTGTTTAGAACTAGATGCAAAGATCCCTGAGAAGCCTTATGTGCCTCCCATGACGAGTTTTCGAGGGAAGGAGTTATGTCATGATACAGCGGAAGACTTGTTTGTTGGATGGTTAGGGGAATTGGATTGGAGCTGGCGTGTCGTGGCTGGACAAAACCCGGCCTATGATCAGTTTCCATGTCAGTACCAGCTTTTCTACAGAGGGAAAGGGAAGTCGGCTTTTTGGTATGAACCCGTGTTTCAGGTCAGGACGCTTGAAGAGAAGTTGGTTTGGAGAAGGAGAAGATACTCAGTTAAGCGAGGAAAGATCCCTGCAACGTTTCGTTTCAGTGTTTTGGACAATGGTGTGGTGTCAAATGAGTTTTGGACTATTGTTGATGTATCTGATGATCTAAGTTGGGGACTATTCCATTACAATGGAGCGGCTCGTGTAGCGGGACAGTCTTACACCGGGGCTGTGCTCGTGACACCGGATGGTTCCTACCCGGCAGAGAAGGAAAAGGAGAGATTGCAGTCAGCATTGGAGAAATGTGGAATTAAGGAGTGGGAACTCTTTGCTGTTGATAATTGTTCTTGCGAAAATCCGCCATTGGGGATTCCACAAGGCTCTAGACTACATTCGAGAATCAGTATCATAGAGGAACCAGACTCGGAAGAAAAATTCAACTAATTTTGCATTGGGTTAGTCACTGTTTTTCTTGTAAATTCATGTTTCTTTAAGAATATCATTGAATCCAATATTGAGTTAACCCTGATGCGACAAAAGATAGTAAGAAATTCGTGTTATAAATGCAAACGTTTTTTTGAAAAGTTGTAAACTGTAAAAAACAACTTGGCACTCGTTCAAAGTGGTACAGGCACCGCCAATCCGCACACCAGCATCAAACTTGGCACTCGTTCAAAGTAAACACAAATCAAGCAAAGAGACATAACCTCAGATAAGGGAAGGTGGCTTCCTTGGTTCATACAGGGAGTGGGTAAAGACAAACTAAGATATATACCATATCGGTCCATCATCTGTTGAAACAAAGAGAAGAATAAAATGAGAAGAAGTTGATGCATAACTACTTGAGAATAACGGAAAAGTTGCGTTACCAAACTAAGACTCACTTTCTAACAGCTCCAAGAGATGACGCTCAAGGTACATAAGATAGATGTCTCCAAATTGATCCTCTTCTGTTGCAGCTTCACGGTCATCCTGCATAAATATTTTTGAAAATTGAAAACGAAACTGAAAAAGTCATTGGTTAGAGTTGTACAAGATGATTGATTAAAAAAATTACCGTAGAGATTATGCATTTGAGGTGAAACTCGTCACCACAGTGTTTGCATGAATAAAACACATTGGAGCATCTGCGTCCGTTTACTTTCCTTTCCCCAATACTCTCTCCACAGAGAATGCAGCTACGAGACCAAACACTATTATTGTCTTCCACGAGAGTATGCTGATGTTTTTGGGTCTTCACATTTGATGGAAACCCAATACACTCTGCATGGGCGTTGAAGTCACAACTAATACATCCGTAGAACGACACACCGCAGGGTCTAGCGCACACACGGCAAGTTCGAGTGATCGTCGAGTCAGCAATCCAGAAGTGATAGAAATAGTGGCTGTGAGGCTTGATCTCTTTTGGCAATCTTACAGCTTTGATGCATTTAATATGGAAACTGATTTCGCAAGTGGAACAATGATAGCCATACTTTCTAATTTCCAGCTTGCAGGCACTGCATTTGGATCCACTTACAAATGAAACTCTAAGGTTGTGATCAGGATGAAGTGGATGATAGAATCTTATTTGCCTTTCAACTTCCACACACAGGGGATGATATACATCTTCACACTCCAAACATGAAACAAGTGAGCTTTGATTGATCAGACGCTCCACAAATGTTGAAAGCATAAGCGATGACATATGTATGGTCTTGTCTTTTCCACACACCTTCTCTTCACATATAGCGCAAGCCATGGAATACGACTTTGAGACCATAATTTGATCCAACGAATGCTCTTTTTGAATGCATCTAATCATCCCTTCACAGCTTCCAATGATTTTTTGCCCTCTTTGTAACTCCGTAAACAAATGTTTACCTTTAAATATGCAATTGGTATGGATGACAAAATTGCATAGCCGACAGAAGAGATTGAACCCTTGGATATCGTTTGTGCAAATGTCGCAATTCATAGTAACCCCTGCACCTGCAGGGGCCTCTGGCAAGAGTGTCAAAGGATGCTTATGGACTCGATGCTTCAATGATCGCCCTAGCTCCGCGCAGAAATTATGCGCCTGAAAGCTGCATGTCTCGCATTTACATGGGCTACTAAGTATTCTTGTTTTACATATGTTGCAATTTGCAGTTTCATCAAGTTCACTGACATCAACGAATCTCATCACATGAATATGCCCCTTCATACTATTAACCTGAATTATTCAAGGGAAGCGTAGTCACAACCAATAAATGAAAAGAGTATACACTCTTTTAATTTAAACTAGTGTAACGAATGTAATAAAAATTCATACCATTTGTTCAAGAAAAAAAAAACCATACCATAAGTTTGGTTTCTAGCTCATTGGTATCATGGTCCTCTTGATTTGTTGAACTTGTGTTGTCTTTGCTGCAAGCGTAAAGATCTTTCAAGTATAATGGGGAAGGCACTTCCTGTAGATTATATAACAAAGAGTAGATCGTCATCGTCTTCTGGACCAACCATCATCATTACAAAAAATAAACCAGAAATGTAACGAAATGTTAATTACCTTGCGTAGAATGCATTCAATGTGGCCCAGAAAACCACATTCTTCACAGTAATAAACATGATGTCCTGCATATACCATTGTCTCGCAAACGCCACAATACTCCAAAAATTCTTCCTCATATGGCAGCAATTTGCACACAAGCGGATGAATGTGATGAGACTTGGCGACCACAAACTCAGGTATCTCAAGACACTCGAAATGGAAAACCATACAGCATTCCATGCAGTAAAAAAAAGAGTCCAGAGAGATCTCATTACATCTCCCGCATATTTGACATTGATGGTTTTCTGTGAAACTTATGTAAGATTTAGTTCTATAAATCAACATGTGCTGATGAGACTTGTGCATAAGACCTCTCAGAAAAGAATCTAAACACCTCAAATGAGCGTCAAAATCGCATTCTTGGCAACCAAATGGGACGCTGGCAATACTTTCCCCGCATATATCACAGTAACTAGAACGTGTGTAATCAAGTCGTTTGAGAGGGTGTGCAGGATGCACAGGATGTGCAATCTCTCTTGGAAAATCAATACAGCGTTCGTGAACAAATGAGTAACAGTGAACGCAACCGTAACATATTGCAGAGGGAGAGAGGGGAAGCTCACAGAGAAGGCAAGAACCTCTAGCGTCTGGTCCCGGTCTACACCTCTTAAGCAAGTGGCAATGGCTGTAATGGAGCAAGTCTTTGTCACCCCAGCCCCTGAAGATGTTCGCACTGAGCGCACAATCGAGATCCAGATAGATCTCACACTCTTTACACTTGTAGAAAGAACCAGAAGACATGTTACCACACCCGGAGCAGACGATATATCCCGGTTTCTGATCGTACTTATGCACACAAAATTCTAGAGGATGATCCGGATGGAAATCGTGTGACACCTTCTGCGGCAGATCATGAGAGCAAGCTTTACAAAGATTGAATTCGCAAGGGTTACATGCCAACTCGACGACTTCATCTTTGTAGCAAATGCTGCAAATCCCCTCGGCGACGATCTTTGGCGAAGTCAACAGGCATTCATGGGAGAAATGCTGAGGCTCTGCCATCGAAGTCAACGAGAGAAACGGGAGATGAGATCCAAAGTTTTTTTTTTTTTTTGTTAAAATTTAAGATAGTGGAAGGAGTAGTTACGAAACAAGTAGTTCAGTTTTATATAAATCGTATACAATGATTAACGGGCTTATTACATATACATACCAATCTACGAGATTTCACTAAGCCCACCAGAGAAGAGTTTTGATATGGGAATCTAACTCCATGTATTTTATTTTTACCACAATTTTTGTACTCAATAATTAGCAAACTCAAAAATTGACCCGACCAGAAATCCCAAACTTGAAAACCTCTATAAATTAATACTCCATAAATTAATAATATTTTTAAATTAATAAATTTATCTGGTCCCGAATTGGACCAATGTTAAAAATGACAAAATTAAATAAGATTTGAAAATCTTATGTAAACATATGGTTTCATTAGTATCATAAATTAATAATTTATAAACTTATCAAAAATAGATATAATATATGAAAAAAATTGATCTGTAGATACTTTTTTCTCATTGTGTTCTTAAGATCGATTTTTTTTTATATTAAAGTAAACAAAATGTGAGCTTTTAAGAAAAAAAAGTCACAGTCCATTACTCCTTTTTTAAAAAAAAAACCACCATTTTTTAAACACATTAATTAAAAAACTCTACAGTTAAAGTAGCAAACTCGATATCCCAACCAAAAATTGACCCGACCCGAAATCCCAAACTTGACCCAAAATTATAGCTGAAATCAAAACTCAAAAACACAAATAATTGGAAAACGAACTTTTAAAATAAAAAAACAGAGAAGCAACTAAAGTTCTGAACATTTTTCTTGGTTGACTTTCTTGCTTTCTCTCTCGATGGGAAAGCTCCAACATGGATCTCATGAATGCGAGTTGACCTCGCCGGGGATCGTCGCAAATGGGATCTGCAACATCTGCTTCAAAGATGAACCTGTTGAATTCGCCTGTGACCCTTGTAATTTCGATCTCTGCAAAGCTTGCTCAGATCTTCCCCAGCAAATGTCACACCATCTTCATCCGGAGCACCCTCTAGAGTTTCGTATTGGCGAAGATGATCGGAAGACCAAATACATGGTGTGCGTCGGGTGCGGAAACATGTCTTCTGGAACCTACTACTACGAGTGTAACAAGTGTGAGATCTATCTTGATTTGGGTTGTGCACTTCACAAGAGCATAACAACGGGTTGGGAAGCCAAAGAGATGCTCCATTACAGCCATGAACACCAGCTTAAGAGGTGTAGGCCGGGACCAGATTCCAGAGGCTCTTGCCTTCTCTGTGAGCAACCTCTCTCTTTCACTGCAACCTGTTACGGTTGCGTTCACTGTTACTTGTTTTTTCACGAGCGTTGCCTTGATCTTCCAACAGAGATTCAACATCCCGTGCATCCTCTGCACCCTCTCAAACGCCTTGATTATATACAAACTTTTGACGGTCGGAAGTCTTGTAGTGCATGTACAGGCAAATTTGTTGGTGTCCCATTTGGTTGCTTAGAATGTGGGTTTTACCTTCATCTGAGATGTGCAGATGCCTTGTTGCGGGGTTTGTTGCATAAGTCTCATGAACACAGGTTGTTTTATGTACAAGATACTCGTCGTGTCGCTGATGATAGAGTAAAATGCCCATGTATAATATGCGAAGAAACTGTGGTCTATGACAGTTTTTATTATATATGCGTCGAATGTGATTTGAAATGTCATACCAAGTGTCTTGAGATACCTAAATATGTGATCAAGAAATCCTATCACATCCATCAACTTAGATATAAAAGAGTTGGAGAGGAGGATGATTTTTTGGAGTATTGTGGTGTTTGTGAAACTACATTAATTTCAGGATTTCCTGCATATTCTTGTGAAGAATGTGACTTTATCGGTCACACTGAATGCATTCTACGCGAGGTAATTAATATTTTAGCTTTGGTTTTTTCTTATAATGTTGATGGTAAATATTGAAAAAAATGATGAGCTAGTACTCTTACTCACCAACAGGAAGTGCCTTCTCCATTGTACTTGAAAGATTTGTACTCTTGCAGCAAAGACAACACAAGATCCAAAAATCTTACAGATCTTGAAACAAGTGAATCAGAAGATAGGTTACTGGTATGGCTTTTTATTATAATCAATACACTAATGAAACATGTCTTCCCCTAAATTGTTTCAAATATATGTTGTAGGTTAATAGCTTCAATCATATTCATGTGATGAGGCTGGTTCACATGAGTGAGCTTGAGGAAGAAGGAAAGTGCAACATGTGTGATACAAAGATACATGGTAATCCTTGCAAATGTGAGACATGTAGCTTCCAATCCCATGATTTCTGTGCAGGGCTTGGGCAACCATCAAGGCATCAGTTTCATTTGAACCATCCTTTGACCCTTCTACCAAATTCCCCTAGATGGATGAAAAGGACATGTAAGTCCTGCAAAGCTGATATAAAAGGGTACAATCTCTTCTGTCGTATATGCAATTTTATCATCGACATCAATTGCGCTTTGAAAGACAAAAAAATGCACGGTGCATTACACATGGGTCAGATAGGACTTTGCATACAAGACAAACATAGCTTGTTCCAAGTTATTGTCTCAAGGTCACATCCTATCGCTTGTTCTATATGTGATGAGAAGTTGTGTGGAAAGGCTTTTTCATGCGTGGTGTGTGAAGATATATATCACCCTCTATGTATCCAAGTTGGGAGGCGAGTTCTAGTTGGTCATCCACTTCATTCTGATCACATGCTAGCAATTTCACTGCTTGAAAGTGGATCCAAGGGGACCGCTATGCCAAGCCAAAAGCAAGAGAAACCCCAATGCCCGGCCTGCCAACTGAATATTACAACAAAGTATAGCTATCATTGTACCATTTGCAAAATCAATTTCCATATTGATTGCATCAAAGCAGTGATAGTACCAAGCAAGATCAAGTCTCATAGTCACTATCTCTATAACTTTTGGAACAATGATATGAGGGTGACTCGCGCTTGCAGTGTGTGCACTAGACCTTGTGGTGCGTCGTTCTACGGATGTATTGACTGTATGTTCAGCGCACATGTAGAGTGTATTGGGTTTCCAGCTAATGTGAAGAACCAACGGCATCAGCATACTCTCACACAAGTATACACTTCTCACCGGGAAAAATGGTCTGTCCGTGAATCATACATGGATGATATATATTACGCATGTTATCATTGCAAGAAAAGATTTGACACTAAAAGTATAATGTCTACGGTAAAGAGTTAACCGATTATCTTGTAGACACTTATACAAAAAACTATTTCAGTTTCATCAGTTTTTGTTTTCGTGATTCATACAGGACGACAGTGAGGAAGCAACAGAAGAGGAACAACTTCAAGACATCTATCTTATGTACCTTGAGCGTGATCTCCTTGACCTTCTAAGTACTGTTCTGCCTCCCTCTCTAAATTTAACCACAAGTTCTGTGATATTGTGGTATGCCTCAAAATTATCTCATTTTCTTCTTGTAGTGAGAACCAGAAGATGATGTGGCCAAAGCCAGTGATGATTCCTCTTCGTTTGGTTCTGCCTCCCTATATGAAACTGAATACTGAAAATTCCCTTATCTGAGGTTATGCCTCAATCTCTTCTCGTTTTCTTATCGTGTTTACAATAAAAGGTGGCGTCTTCGAAGACTTGAGACTCTGATGAGTCTTAATTTGTTATGCCTCCCTCTCTTAAATGCAACTTCAGTGAACTAAAGTTATGTTTCAGAATTCTCTATCTTCTACTTATGTTTATGATCCATTTTTGTTGGATATGGGCTTCACCCATTGAATGCCATTTGGCCCAAACAAGGGGCTTCATTATTCGTTGGGCCTGTTGTATCTCCAATTCAGCCCATTAAGCTGAAAAGGGCAAAACAGTAATTTGCTGGGGAGAGCACAAGAGACTCTAGGTCACAATGCTTGTCCTATAAATAAGACACTATTTATAACAGGACCAACACACAAGTCAATACCCAGAGAATCAGAGAATTATTCGTATATGTGCGTTCGTTGCTCATAGCTCATAACGTATACGTGCGTTCGTTGCTCATAGCTCATAACGTATACGTGCGTTCGTTGCTCATAGCTCATAGCGTATACGTGCGTTCGTTACTCATAGCTCATAGCGTATACTTTCGTTCGTAGTTCTTTGCGTATACGTTCGTTGGTTGTTCGTAGTCCTTTGCGTATACCTTCGTTCGTTAGTCATAGTTCTTTGCGTATACGTTCGTTGGTTGTTCGTAGCTCATAGTCTGTACGTTCGTCATTTGCTCTCTGTAACTAACCGATCTCGTTCGTCGTTAATAAAGAAGTCACTTCGTTCTCCCCGAAAATCCTATAGTTATTTGTTGTTACAACCTCGGTACAAACAATTTTGTTGATATAACTTTGCAACATGTTTATTTGTTGGATCTTGAATCTGTGGTTTTCATTATTCTGATTGCCAAGTTTGATTTCTCTTCAAGTGTATACCTAATTTATTTCTCCGATTGTTGGTGTTGTCTCTTCATTATTTTTGCTTTTAAGAGAAAATACTTGCATTTTGTTTTCTGCATAATCAACATAGGCATAGTGTGAAGCGCTTAAGCTTCTAAGAGGGTATTTCGGATGAATCTCTGTCGGAATATCGAGGCAGCGTTCATGGAGAAACGAATAACAGTAAACACAACCGTAACATATAAAAGAGGGAGACAGAGGAAGCTCACAAAACAGGCAAGAGCCTCTAGCATCTTGTCCTGGTATACACCTTCCAAGCAAATGTTCATGACTCTGTGATGAAGCATTTCTCTAACGTCCCAACCTGTGGAAATGTTCTTCAGTAGTGCACAACCGAGATCAAGATAGATCTCACACATTCTTTACGTCAATATATCAAGAAATGTTATTGAAATGTCAAAGCCGAGTCCTTTTGGCTCACTTAGGGACACGTGACCAACAAGATAAGGCTAGACTTCTTGAAGAACTGCCACATCTTGGCCAGGTGGCAGGTTTCAAGACCATGTCTTGAGTGTATAAATTAGGTTTGGTGTAGAGAAAAAGGGAAAATTAGTATGAAAGATCGGTATCATCATCAACAATGTCGGGAGCACAAGGAGCAGAGCCGATGGGGTCAAGAACGGCGACAACTTATGAGTCGGTGGAAGGAGGACAGAACAAGACTAAGCTTGATATAATTAAGGTCAAAGGAAGACGAAGGTGGGATTCAAGTTGACAAGCTTCAAGACAAGGTCTCTGATGCTGCTGGTCTTGGCGGACCTGTCTTTGGTGCTGGTAAAGATGACAAAAAGCAGCGACGATGGCACTAGATAACTTCATAAGGGATTCACATCGGGATGATCATGATTTTTTACAGTGGCAAAGCACAGAAGAATATCATGTTGATGAAGAAGACGAAGAAGAAGCAGAAGAAGGAGAAGAAGAACATATTGCATATGAGCCGACCGGTGATAGAACGATGGAAGCTTTGCGTGATAACGTCACGAATGAATGTAATAAAAATGGTTTACATTATTAGATATTTTTTATTTTTTTGTTTGTGACTTGGTTTATTATTTTAGTTAATAACTTTGTCTATCTTTTTCGTTTATGACTCGGTGTATTACGTTTAGTTAAATGTTTTGATTTATCACAAAAAAATTATATTGATATATTTATATTTTACTAAAAATTAATTCATTACACAAAAAAAAAACTAAAAATTATTACTAGCTAAACAAATATTTTTTATGGATGTAAAAATATTTAAATTACATTTTTTTTTATTCAAAATAAAATTATACAAATTTATAAAAATTAAACAAGAATTAAGTGAAAATTGTCGCAGCGGCAAAGCGAAAAAGAAACCAGGGGCTGCGGCAGCGGAAGCGGGATCGAAACGAACACAAAACCTGCGACAACAGCGACGAAACGAACAACAACATGCGGTAGTGTTTACCGCCGCCGCTGCCACCTGCAGCGACGACAGAAACAAACTAAATTGCAAAATTTCGTTTATTTTTCCCATTAACAGGCGAGAAGATAAAAATGGGTTGATGAAGGATATGAAATGCTTGTCTTTGATGATGAAATTTTGAGTTCAAATGATGAGAGAGCTTTGAATCTGACAAAGGAACTTAATCAGACGGATATTTGGTTGTTGTTGCTGTTAATAACTCAGAATCTGTGAATTGGATTCAGGAAAACAGCAGAAATGTCAAGAACATGAACAGGCTTGGAGGGAATGATATTGGAAGTGTGAATAAAGGTAAACAAATAACAGAGGTTGTGAAGACTGTAGGAGATGCTTGGGAACGTCGTAACTCTGAATCTCTGATGATATAAGGTTTTGTTTGCTTGTGATTATCAATGCTTATATAAGACCAGTTCCCGTGTTGCAGAACTTGAGGTCCAAAGGGTTTTCGACGCTTACTTGTATGGTTAAAAACTGTGGACCTCAGATTTTGAACTGTCTTTTGGATCCGAATTGTCGAAAAGCTCTTCAGTGTTTGAACCAATGTAGTCCTGTTGATCAGGTGTGTAGCTACAGATGCATTGCTTCTTATGAGAGTCCTTACTTTGAAGCATTCTCTCTTTGTGTACTACAGAAACACAATTGTTTAGAACTGGATGCAAAGATCCCTGAGAAGCCTTATGTGCCTCCCATGACGAGTTTTCGAAGGAAGGAGTTATGTCATGATACAGCGGAAGACTTGTTTGTTGGATGGTTAGGGGAATTGGATTGGAGCCGGCGTGACGTGGCTGGACAAAACCCGGCTTATGATCAGTTTCAATGTTAGTACCAGCTTTTCTACAGAGGGAAAGGGAAGTCGTCATTTTGGTATGAACCCGTGTTTCAGGTCAGAACACTTGAAGGGAAGCTAGTGTGGAGAAGGAGGAGATACTTGGTTAAGAGAGGAAAGATCCCTGCAACCTTTCGTTTCAGCGTTTTGGACAATGGTGTGGTGTCAAATGAGTTTTGGATTATTGTTGATGTATCGGATGATCTAAGTTGGGGACTGTTCCATTACAATGGAGCGGCTCGTGTTGTAGGACAGTCTTACACCGGAGGCTGTGCTCGTGACACCGGATGGTTCCTACCCGGCAGAGAAGGAAAAGGAGAGATTGAAGTCTGCATTGGAGAAATGTGGGATTAAGGAGTGGGAACTCTTTGCTGTTGACAATTGTTCTTGCGAAAATCCGCCATTGGGGATGCCACAAGACTCTAGACTACATTCGAGAATCAGTATCATAACCAGACTCGGAAGAAAAATTCAACTAATTTTGCATTGGGTTAGTCACTGTTTTTCTTGTAAATTCATGTTTCTTTATGAATATCATTGAATCCAATATTGAGTTAACCCCGATGAAACGATAGTAAGAAATTCGTGTTAAAAATGCAAACGTTTTTGAAATGTAGTAAACGGTAAAAACAACTTAGAGAAAAACACAGTGGTACAGGAACACCAGCATCAAACTTGGCACTCTGAAAAAGTAAACACAAATCAAGCAAAGAGACATAACCTCAGATAAGTGAAGTTGGCTTCCTTGGTTCTTACAGGGAGGCGGTAAAGACAAAACTAAGACGAATACCGTATTCGGTCATCATCTGTTGAAACAAAGATAAGAATAAAATTAGAAGAAGTTGATGCATAACTACTTGAGAATAACGGAAAAGTTGTGTTACCAAACTAAGACTCACTTTCTAACAGCTCCAAGAGATAACGCTCAAGGTACATAAGATAGATGTCTCCATATTGATCCTCTTCTGTTGCAGCTTCACGGTCATCCTGTACGACACGGAAAAAAAAAAATTGAAAATCGAAAATAAAAAGGAAAAAGTCAATGGTTAAAGTTCTGCAAGAGGATTGATAAAAATTTTACCGTAGACATTATGCATTTGAGGTGAAACACTTCGTTACAGTGTTTGCATGAATAACACACATTGGAGCATTTGGTTCCGGATACTTTCCTAACCCCAATACTTACTCCACAGAGAAAGCAGCAACCAGGAAAAACACGACCTCCGTCTACCACGAGAGTATGCTGATGTTTTTGGTTCTTCATATTTGATGGAAACCCAATACACACTGCATGGGCGTTGAAGACACAACTAATACATCCGTAGAACGACACACCGCACGGTTTAGCGCACACACGGCAGGTCGGAGTGATCTCCGAGTCAGCAATCCAAAAGTGATAGAAACAGTGTCTGTGGGGCTTGATCTCCTTTGGCAATCTTACCGCTTTGCTGCATTTAATATGAAAACTGATGTCGCAAGTGGAACAATGATAGCCATACTTTTTAATTTCCAGCTTGCATGCTCTGCACTTGGATCCACTTACAAATGAAACTCCAAGGCTGTGATCAGGATGAATTGGATGATATAATCTTATTTGCCTTTCAATTTCCAAACACAGAGGATGATATACATCTCCACACGCCGTACATGAAACAAGTGAGTTTTGTATGATCAGACGCTCCTCAAATGTTGAAAGATAAAGCGATGACATGTGTATGATCTTGTCTTTTCCACACACATTCTCTTCACAAATAGCGCAAGCCATCGAATACGACTTTGTGACCATAATTTGATCCAACTGATGCTTTTCTTGAATGCATTTACTTCCTTCCCAGCTTCCTATGATTTTTTGCCCCCTTTGTGACTCAGTAAATAAATGTTTACCTCTAAATATGCAATTGGTATGGATGACAAAATTGCATAGCCGACAAAAGAGATTGAACCCTTTGATATCCTTTGTGCAGATGTCACAATTCATAGTAACGTCTGCACCTGCAAGGGTCTCTGGAAAGAGTGTCAAAGGATGCTTATGAACTCGATGCTTCAATGGTCGCCCTAGCTCCGCGCAGAAATTATGTGCCTGGAAGCTGCATGTCTCGCATTTACATGGACTACCAAGTATTTCTGTTTCACATATGTTGCAATTTGCAGTTTCATCGAGTTCATTGAAATTAACGAATCTCATCACATGAATATGCCCCTTCATACTATTAACCTGAATTATTCATTAAAGGGAAGCGTAGTCACAACCAATAAATGAAAAGAGTTTACAGTACTGTTTTTAACTAGTGTAAGGATTGTAATGAAAATTCATACCATAAGTTTGGTTTCTAGCTCATTGGTATCATGGTCCTCTTGATTTGTTGAACTTGTGTTGTCTTTGCTGCAAGCGTAAAGATCTTTCAAGTATAATGGGGAAGGCGCTTCCTGTAGATTATATAATAAAGAGTAGATCGTCATCATCTTCACGACCAGCATCATTACAAAAATTGTAATGAAATGTTAATTACCTTGCGTAGAATGCATTCAATGTGGCCTAGAAAATCACATTCTTCACAGGAATAAGCATGATGTCCTACATATACCATTGTCTCGCAAACGCCACAATACTCCAAAAAATCATCCTCATATGGGAGCAATTTGCACACAAGTGGATGAATGTGATGAGACTTGTCGACCACAAACTTAGGTATCTCAAGACACTCGAAATGGAAAACCATACAACATTGTATGCAGCAAAAAAAAGAGTCAACAGATATCACATTACGTTTCCAGCATATTTGACATCGATCATTTTCTGTGAACTTTATGTGAGATTTAGTTCTATAAATCAACATGTGCTGATGAGACTTGTGCATAAGACCTCGCAAATAGGAATCTAAACACCTCAAATGAGCGTCAAAAACGCATTCTAGGCAACCAAATGGGACACTGGCAATGATTTCCCCGCATATACCACAACGACGACTAGTTCGTGTGTAATCAAGTCGTTTGAGAGGGTGTGCAGGATGCACAGGATGTGCAATCTCTCTCGGAAAATCAATACAGCGTTCGTGAACAAATGAGTAACAATGAACGCAACCATAACATATTGCAGAGGGAGAGAGGGGAAGCTCACAGAGAAGGCAAGATCCTCTAGCGTCTGGTCCCGGTCTACACCTCTTAAGCAAGTGGCAATGGCTGTAATGGAGCAAGTCTTTGTCACCCCAGCCCCTGAAGATGTTTTCACTGAGCGCACAGTCCAAGTCCAAGTAGATCTCACACTCTTTACACTTATAGAAAGAGCCAGAAGACATGTGTCCACACCCCGAGCAGACGATGTGTCCCGGTTTCTGATCGTACTGATGTAGACAAAATTCTAGAGGATGATCCGGATGGAAATCGTGTGACACCTTCTGCGGACGTTGAGAGCAAGCTTTACAAATATTGAAATCGCAAGGGCTACATGCCAACTCGACAAGTTCATCTTTGTAGCAAATGCTGCAAATCCCCTCGGCGACGATCTTTGGCCAAGTCAATGGGCATTCATGGGAGAAATGTTGGAGCTCTGCCATCAACAAGTCAACGAGGGAAACGGGAGATGAGATCCAAAGTTTTTTTTTTTGGTTAAAATTTAAGATAGTGGATGGAAGGAGTAGTCACGGAACACGTCGTTCTGTTTTATATAAAGAGTATACAATGATTAACGGGCTTACATGGGAATATGGGCTATATAATGATCTACGAGATTTCATTAAGAGCACTAGTAGACTCTTAATTTTGGCTCTTAACAATATTTTAGTATTAAATTTGTAAAGGTTATACATTGAAACCTCTATAAATTAATAATATTGGGACTAGAAAATTTTATTAATTTAGAGAGGTATTAATTTATCGATAAATTAATAATTATTAATTTATAGAGAAATTTTATTAATTTTGTAATTTCTTAAAAAATTTCTATCTAAAATTAAATTTTTTCTTTAAGCAAAATCTTTAAAAAACTAATTACAAGTAGAAAATTAATTATTAAGTTTAAAAAACAACACAAACTTATTTCGAATAATAGAGTCATATTTCATTAAACTTTTTACATATAATATTTTAAATATATATCATAGAAATTCATATATGACATATATAGATTTATACATATATATATATATATATATGGGTTTATACAATTATTAATTTATGATATGGATGGGACCATATGTTTACATAGGATTTTCAAAAAAATTATTATCTTATTAATTTATCGATTTATGTCATATTTTACACTGGACCCAACTCGGGACCGGAAGAATTTATTAATTTATAGAGGTTTAACTGTAGTTAATAGATTGTATTTTTGTTTTTAATTTTTATGTGTCTCCAATGGTAGGCTCTTAACATGAGGTTCTTAGAAAAAAGAATATTAATATAAAATTATTTTTTTTTAATTTTAGAAAACTTAATAATTATTGCAAATTAAAAAATTTAAAACATACATGAGATATAATTTATAACATACATGACATAAAGCACAATAGTTTTAAATTTGATTTCCGTAAAATTTTATCCATATATGCTCGACCAAATCCTTCTTCAATTGTTGATGCATAGCTCGATCACGAAGTTGAGTTCTAGTGGCCATCATATCGACGAGATTTGAAGGCATTTATGTAGAATAGGTGAAATCCACTCGTGTACTTTTGGTAGATTCCGCTTGTTCGAATTCGGTTACATCAAACTGAGTATACTCATCTCGTTCATGTTCTACTATCATATTGTGAAGTATTATACATGCTTGCATTACATTTCTTATTTTTGTCTTATCCCAAATAAAAACCGGATAAAAAGACACTTAAAAAAAAATTTGTTAAAAAGAACTCAGCCAACTGCTGACACTTCGGCGTCTCTTAAGGGCTTCAAAAGCTCTTAGCTAGGAGTCGACTCTTAGCCTCTTTACCAATTTTGATTTATTTTTAAGTGTTTTATCCTAAGAAACTTTGTTAAAAACTTCCTCAGAGACCATTGTTAATGATGGTCTAAGCCCACAAGAGAAGAGTTAATATGGGAATCTTGACCACCTCCAATAGAGGTTAAGAGAAAAATGATTAAAATTAAATCAAAAACAGCGAAGTAACTAAAAGTCTGAACATTGTTCTTGGTTGACTTTCTGAACAATTCAAGAAAATAATAAGATAATAAATTTTTTGAAAATCTTATATAAACATATGTTCTCATTAGTATCATAAATTAATAATTTATAAACTTATCGAAAATAGATATAATCTATGAAAAAAAATTGATCTTTAGATACTAATTTCTCATTGTGTTCTTAGGATCGATTTTTTTTTATTAAAGTAAACAAAATGTGAGTTTTTAAGAAAAAAAGTCAGAGTCCATTACTCCTGTTTTTTTTTTAAACCGCCAATGTTTACACTCATTAATTCAAAATCCTACAGTAAAAGTAGCAAACTCGATAACCCAACCAAAAAATTGACCCGACCCAACCCCAAACTTGACCCAAAATTAAAGCTTCAAAACACACAAATAATTGGAAAACGAACATTTAAAATCAAACAGAGAAGTAACTAAAATTCTGAACATTTTTCTTGGTTGACTTTCTTGCTCTCACTCGATGGGAAAGCTCCAACATGGATCTCATGAATGCGAGTTGACCTCGCCGGGGATCGTCGCAAATGGGATCTGCAACATCTGCTTCAAAGATGAACCTGTTGAATTCGCCTGTGACCCTTGTAATTTCGATCTCTGCAAACCTTGCTCCGATCTTCCCCAGCAAATGTCACACCATCTTCATCCAGAGCACCCTCTAGAGTTTCGTATTGGCGAAGATGATCGGAAGACCAAATACATGGTGTGCGTCGGGTGCGGAAACATGTCTTCTGGAACCTACTATTACGAGTGTAACAAGTGTGAGATCTATCTTGATTTGGGTTGTGCACTTCACAAGAGCATAACAACGGGTTGGGAAGCCAAAGAGATGCTCCACTACAGCCATGAACACCAGCTTAAAAGGTGTAGGCCAGGACCAGATTCCAAAGGCTCTTGCCTTCTCTGTGAGCAACCTCTCTCTTTCACTGCAATATGTTATGGTTGCGTTCACTGTTACTTGTTTTTTCACGAGCGTTGCCTTGATCTTCCAACCGAGATTCAACATCCCCTGCATCCTGTGCATCCTCTCAAACGCCTTGATTATATACAAACTTTTGACGGTCGGAAATCTTGTAATGCTTGTTATGCCAAGTTTGTTGGTGTCCCATTTGGTTGCTTAGAATGTGGGTTTTACCTTCATCTGAGATGTGCAGATGCCTTGTTGCGGGGTTTGTTGTATAAGTCTCATGAACACAGGCTGTTTTATGTAGAACATCCTGGTGGTCCCGTTTTTGATAGAGTAAAATACCCATGTCTAATATGCCAGAAATCTGTGCTCTTAAACAAATTCTATTATTTATGCGTCCAGTGTGATTTGAGATGTCATACCGAGTGTCTTGTGATACCTGAATATGTGATCAAGAAATCCTATCACATCCATCAACTTAGACATAAAAGAGTCGAAGCCGAGGACGATTTTTTGGAGTATTGTGGTGTTTGTGAGACTCTGGTATATTCAGAACATCCTGCATATTCCTGTGAAGAATGTGATTTTCTCGGTCACACTGAATGCATTCTACGCGAGGTAATTAATATATTATTACAGCTCTGGTTTTTTCTTATAATGATGATTGACGAAAATGATGAGCTAGTACTCTTACTCATTACCAACAGGAAGTGCCTTCCCCATTGTACTTGAAAGATCTGTACTCTTGCAGCAAAGACAACACAAGATCCAAAAATCTTACAAACCTTGAAAGCAGTGAATCAGAAGATAGGTTACTGGTATGGCTTTTTATTATAATCAATACATTGTATGGCTTTTTATTATAATCAATACACTAGTGAAACAATGTCTTCTCCTAAAGTGTTTCAAATATATGTTCCAGGTTAATAGCTACAATCATATTCATGTGATGAGACTGGTCTACATGAGTGAGCTTGGGGAAGAAAGAAAGTGCAACATGTGTTATACAGAGATACATGATAATCCTTGCAAATGTGAGACATGTAGCTTCCAATCACATGATTTCTGTGCAGAGCTTGGGCGACCATCAAGGCATCAATCTCATTTGAACCATTCTTTGACCCTTCTACCATATTCCCCTAGAAGGATAAAAAGTACGTGTAAGTCCTGCAAACTTGATATAAGAGGGTTCAATCTCTTCTGTCGTATATGCAATTTTATCATCGACATCAATTGCGCTTTGAAAGACAAAAAAATGCATGGTGCATTACACATGGGTCAGAAAATCATTGGAACATGGGTAGGACTCTGCATAAAAGAAAAACATAGCTTGTTTCAAGTTATTGTCTCAAGGTCATATCCTATCGCTTGTTCTATCTGTGATGAGAAGATGTGTGGAAAGGCTTTTTCATGTGTGGTGTGTGAAGATATATATCACCCTCTGTGTATCCAAGTTTGGAGGCAAGTACTAGTTGGTCATCCACTTCATTCTGATCACATGCTAGCAATTTCACTGCTTGAAAGTGGATCCAAGTGCACTGCCTGTCAACTGAATATTACAACAAAGTACGCCTATTATTGTTCCATTTGCAAAATCAATTTCCATATTGATTGCATCAAAGCAGCGATAGTACCAAGCACGATCAAGTCTCATAGTCACTATCTCTATAACTTTTGGAACAATGATTTGAGGGTGACTCGAGCTTGCAGTGTGTGCACTAGACCTTGTGGTGCGTCGTTCTACGGATGTATTGGTTGTATGTTCAGCGCACATGTAGAGTGTATTGGGTTTCCAGCTAATGTAAAGAACCAACGGCATCAGCATACACTCACACAAATACACATTTCTAGCTGGAGAAGTTGTTCTCTCTGTAAATCACCCAGCTGGGGTACATTATATGCATGCTATCACTGCAGGGTCATATATGACACCAAATGTATAATGTCTGCGGTAAAGAGTTAACCGATTATCTTGTAGAACATAAACTATTTATTCTTTTCTCTTTTTTTATTTCAGCTTCTTCATTTAATTTTTTCGGAATCATACAGGACGACCGTGAGGAAGCAACAGAAGAGGAACAACTTCAAGACATCTATCTTATGTACCTTGACAGTGATCTCGTTGATCTTTTAGGTAGTGTTCTGCCTCCCTCTCTGAATTTATACACAAGTTCCGTCATATTGTGTTATGCCTCAAAATCCTCTCATTTTCTTCTTCTAGTGTTGGCAACAGAAGATCCTGTGGTCGAAGCCAAGGATTTCTCTTAGTTTGGTTCTGCCTCCCTCGCTGAAACTGAATACTGAAAATTCCCTTATCTGAGGTTATGCCTCAACCTCTTCTCGTTTTCTTATGTGTTTTTACAATGGAAGGTGGCATGTTCGAAGACTTGAGACTCTGATGAGTCTTAGTTTGTTATGTGTCCCTCTCTCAAATGCAACTTCAGTGAACTAAAGTTATGTTTCAGAATTCTCTATCGTCTACTTATGTTTATGATCCATTTTGTGGATTAACTTTGCAACATTTTTATTTGTTGGATCTTGAATCTGTGGTTTTCATTATTCTGATTGCCAAGTTTTATTTCTCTTCAAGTGTATACCTAATTTAGTAGTGAGTTTCTCCGATTGTTGGTGTGGAATATTGTTGATTGGATGTTGTTTCTTTATTATTATTTTCTTTTAAGAGAAGATACTTGCATTTTGTTTTCTGCATAATCAAGCTTTTGTTTTCGGAAAACCATAGACAGTGTGTGAAGCTTAAGCTTAAGCTTAACACGGGATGTCTAATGGAAAACACATATTGCCAGAAACAGAGAAAACAGAACAAGAAAAAACAGAGCAAATAAACATATTACAAACATGATTCACTAACGAGAGAATTTAGAGGTATAACAATCAGATTAACAAGAAGTTGCAGCACTTTGTTTCAGCGGAGGCACAACCTAACTACGAAGAATCACGGTCTTTGATACGATGTCGGTCAATACACGGAAGATGATAAACTGTTTCACACTCCATACATGACACAGCTTTCCCAAACACTCTCTCATGACATATAATACAAACTTTTTGATATGATCTCGGGAACATAACTTGAACCATCCTATGCTTGCCTCCCAAACAACGTCCTCTCCAAGTTCCAACGACTTTCGGCCCTAACATTCCAAGAAAACGTTTACCTTTCATGGCGCAACTGACGTGGATGATAAAATTGCATATTCGACAAAATAGATTGAACCCTTTTATATCCTCTCTGCAGCTTTTACAACTCATCATATCCGTAGCAAGTGGTTTTGGCATGAGTGTCAAAAGATGGTTCCAATGAAACCGATGTCTTGATGGTTTCCCTAGCTCCACACAGAAGTTATGTGTCACAAAGTTGCAAGTCTCGCATTTCCATGGATTACCAAGTATTTCTTTTTCACATATGTGACAATGTTCTTTGTCTTCTAGCTCACACATATCAATCGATGTCATCACATGATTATGGTTGATATCATTAACCTGCAACATATACCTTACACGTTTGAGACAAAAGGCCGGCTTATAATTATCAGTGGAATTATAAAGCCATACCACAAGTTTGTTGGTTTCATAGTCTTCTTGATTTGTTGCTCTTTTGACGTCTTCAACACAAGAATACAGATCTTTCAAGTACAATGGTGATGGCTCTTTCTGTTGTTTGTAGATATAGATCATCATCATTGCATCATTATTAAGAAACGAAAAACAATAATGATATTGATTACCTCGCGTAGAATGCATTCAATGTGACCGAGAAAATCACATTCTTCGCACGAATAAACATGATGCCCGGCATGTATCAATGTCTCGCAAACGCCACAATACTCCAAAGAATCATCCTCTCCACATACTCTTTTACAAACAAGTGGATGAATGTGACAAGATCTCTTTAAAATGGTCTTGGATATCCCAAGGCATTCGAAATGAAACTCCAATTCACATTCGATGCAGTGGTAGTAAGAATCGAGAGAGCTCACTACAGCTCTCAAGCATATTTGGCAACAATTTGTTCTTCCAAAATGTTCTTTAGCATTCGAAGATACATAAAACAACTTATGTTCATGAGATTCATGCATCAGACAGCGCAAAAAATAATCTGCACACCTCATGTGAATGTAAAAACCGCATTCTAGGCAGCCAAAGGGGACACTGTCAATCTTCTCCCTACACGCACAACAAAATGTTCGACCACCACTTTGTATGTAATCAAGGCGTCTGAGAGGGTGTTCTAGATGCACGGGATGTCGAATCTCTGTCGGAAGATCGAGACAGCGCTCGTGGAGAAACGAGTAACAGTAAACACAACCGTAACATATAGAAGAAGGAGACAGAGGGAGCTCACAAAGCAGGCAAGAGCCTCTAGCATCTTGTCCTGGTCTACACCTTCGAAGCAAATGTTCATGACTGTAATGAAGCATTTCTCTAACGTCCCAACCTATGGAAATGTTCTTCAGTAGTGCACAACCGAGATCAAGATAGATCTCACATTCTTTACATTCATAGAATGAGCAAGAAGACATGTTCCCACAACAAGAGCAGACAATGTAACCAGGTTTTCGATCATATTGGAATAGACAAAACTCTAGAGGATGTTCTGAGTGAAAATCATGTGACACCTTTTGCGGCAGCTTGGAGCAAGTCTTACATATATCAAAATTGCAAGGCTTACATGCGTATTCAACAACTTGGTCTTTGAAGCAAATGTTGCAGATACCTTCAGATACAATCTCCGGCGAGGTTAAAGGGCATGAATGGGAGAAATGCTCGAGTTTCCCCATCGTAATAAGCAAGATTGCAATCTTGATCCAAGACTAGCATAATCTTGATCAAAGAACCTTCATGATTCAAAACTGAATCATAAAAGCAAGAAAACTTGTTAGAGAGAGAGAGAGTAATAGATTAGTGGCTCAATGATTGTTTATCCAAAGTGGAGAGATCTCGTTTTCTCAACGTGGAGTGGTTGGGATATTTATTATTTTTCTCGTTTATTGACAAAGCTTAATGGGATTTTATAAAAAGACTTTAGAGCTAATTGCGTTTTAGTGCTTCAATTTATTTATTTCCGTCATTTAATTATTGAAAATGCAACTTAAAAATTGATGAAGAGCCTTCTTTGTGTCATTAGATGGTTCTTAATGAAACAAGTCTTGAGTTCACATCAAGAAGCGTAATCCAACAGATGATAAGAATCAAAGACAAGTCCTTTTGACTCACTGAGGACACGTGACCAACAAGATAGGTCTAGACTTCTGAAGAACTGCCACGTCTTGGCCAGGTGGCAGGTTTGAAGACCATGTCTTGAGGGTATAAATTAGTTTTGGTGTGGACAAAAAGGTAAATGTGTTAAGAAAGATCGATATCATCAACAATGTCGGGAGCACAAGGAGCAGAGCCGATGGGGTCAAGAACGGCGACAGCGTATGAGTCGGTGGAAGGAGGACAGAACAAGACTAAGCTTGATATAAGGTCAAAGGAAGACGAAGGTGGGATTCAAGTTGACAAGCTTGAAGACAAGGTCTCTGATGCTGCTGGTCTTGGCGGACCTGTCTTTGGTGCTGGTAAAGATGACAAGAAGCAGGATCTTGGTGTTACCGGTACCGGCTAAGATCTCTGTAATATATGTGTATATGCGGTCCTTAAAAGTCATGTAATGTTAAAGACATGTTTTAAGTAGAAAACTAATCAATAAAAGTCTTTTTGAGAAACCTAATCAAGAAAAGTCTTTTTTGAGAAAACGATGAAACCTAACATTCAAAGACTCTTTATTATGAATCAAATCAAACTGTCTCCTCTTAAAAAGCCAAAAGGATCTGTGATCGAAGAAACAGAGAAGCAAGATCAAATAGGACCTTCACAAAACCAAGAGTAAAACACCTAAACTTATGACAATATCAAAGAAATAACATGTGTTGCATCCTGAGACAGAACCAAAAACTAAGTATGGTAGCTCTCAATACACTGAGGATGATATATCTCTTCACACGTCATACATGACACAGCTTTTCCACACAACTTCTCATCACAAATAACGCAAGTAGTTGGATATGACCTCGAGACCATAACTTGAACCAATCTATTATGCACGCCTTTCTTGCACCATCCTCTCCAAGTTCCAGTGAATTTCTGCCTTAAAGCTTCAAGAACATGTTTACTTTTCAAGGCACAATTGATGTGGATAACAAAATTACATATGCGGCAGAAGAGATTGAACTTGTATATATTCTCTCTGCAAATGTCACATTTCATCTTTTCCTGTGAAGGATACATTGGCAAGAGTGTCAAAGGATGGTTCTGATGAAGTCGATGTTTTGATGGTCGCCCCAGCTCCGCACAGTAATGATGTGTCTCGAAGCTGCAGGTCTCGCATTTCCATGGATTACTAAGTATTTTTCCTCCACAGATCTTGCAACATGGATATTTATCAAGATCACTCATGAGGACTGGTTTCATCACATGAATATGCCAGATGTCATTAACCTGCAACACATATTTGAAGCAATTAGGCAAAACAAAAAAGTGTTTATACTTTTCATAAGAATATGATTGATTAAAAAAAAAAAAAAAAAAAAAAGTCATACTGTAAGTTTGTTTTCTAAGTTGTTGGTTCCAGAGTCTTCTTGATCTATTGAGCTCATGGTAACTTTGCCAGAAGAATACAGATCTTTCAAGTATAACGGCGAAGGCTCTTCCTGTTGATTTTGAGTAAGAGTAGCTTCTCAGCATCGTCTCTATTACCATCATCAATAAGAAAAAGAATTGTAATGACGTATTAATTACCTCGCGAAGAATGCAACCAATGTGACCAACAAAATCACATTCTTGGCAAGTATAAGCATGATGTCCTGCGTGTACCATTGTCTCACAAACGCCACAATACTCCATAGAATTGTTCTCTGCTACGAATGTTTTAAGCACAAGCGGATGAATGTGAAAAGATTTCTTGACCACGGACTCGGGTATGTCAACACACTTGAAATGAAATATCGAATCACATTCCACGCACTGATAGTAGTATGTGGCATAGATCCAATCGCTTCTCATGCATATTTCACAAGGCATTCGTCCATAAGTACTTTTCATTCCACCACACACATAAAACAATCTGTGTTCATGAGACTTGTGCATCAGGCTTCGCAACAAGGAATCTGCACACCTCATGTGAATGTCAAAATTGCATTCTAGACAACCAAACGGGACACCGATGATCTTGTCACCGCAAGCGTTGCAATCTCTTCCAACTCCACAATTATGAGCATAATCAAGGCGTCTGAGAGGGTGTGCAGGATGCACCGGATGCTGGATCTCTATCGGAAGCTCAAGGCAGCGCTCGTGAAGAAACGAGTAACAATGAACACAACCGTAACATATCGAAGATGGATACAGAGGAAGCTCACAGAGAAGACAACAGCCTTTAGTATCTTGACCTGGTCTACACCTCTTAACCAAGTGGCAATGGCTGTAATGAAGCATTTCTCTCAAGTCCCAACTTGTGACGATGTTCTTGAGAAGCGCACATCCCAAATCAAGATAGATCTCACACTCTTTACACTCATAGAAAGAGCCAGAAAACATGTTCCCACACCCTGAGCATACGACATATTCAGGTGTCCGATCATATTGGCCTAGAAAAAACTCTAAAGTATGATCCGGGTGAAATTCATGATACACAGTCTGTGGCAGCTCAGAGCAAGTTTTACAGAGATCGAATTTGCAAGACTTACAGGCGAACTCAACAGGTTCATCTTTGTAACAGATGTTACAGACACCATACGTGAAGATCTCCGGCGAGGCCAACTTACATTCATGGGAGAAATGCTGCAGCTCTGCCATTATTGATGGAGCACAAAAGTCAACAAGAAAGAAAACGCAGAGAGATTTTTAAAATTTTAAATACAGAGACAGAACATCACTTACATTGAGTTACTCATGGGCTTGTTACAGGCCCACATCATGTAGACATTGAAGCAACTCTACAAGTCAAGCACTGCAAAGTGTAAACATATGATCTAATAATACCTTTCTTTGCTAACAAAATCACTTACAAGAAAATGTATCCTCTTTAGAAAACGAGTCAGGACTAAACACACACGTTAAGACTTCAAACAACATAATGAACTAAACAATATATGAAATCAATAGAAGAAAGGAAAGAGATGATCAACTTCTTCATAGGTCAACTTGTATACATATACAAAATACAAATCTCAGACACAATCATTCTTGTTTTTTGTCTGACAGAGAAAGTTATGAGACTATTTGATGTTCTCTTAGTTCTAAATTGTCATATGAAGGAAGCAGCACCATTTTCGACGTCATCAGTCTTCATGGTTCCATCTAAAGACATAAGCACTCTGTATATCCGCTTCGAACATGCATCACCTACCCTTTTGTCTTCTCCTACTAAATTTTCCACTCTCAAGTCTTTCAGTAGAAACTCCTTCTCATGAACCTGTTCCCCAGTTTATAAAACCAACACAACACAGCTTCAGAAATCGTTAGAAACAACTGAAGAAGTCAATATCCGTAGTTTGTGTTTACTCACCGATATGTTAGGATCCATATAAACCTTAAGAAGGGACTTAAAGGATGGGTATTTCTTCGATACTGCTATAGCGTATCTTGGCTGTACCTTTGGTATTGCTACCAACACTTTCAACCTATCGACACAATGTATATTTACTTATTAAACAAAGCAGGTGATTTGAAAAATATTATAATTGGAAATGGGTTTAGATTACTCTACCATAGGCTCTCTCTAATCAAGTGCTTATCAGCTGCATTCTTGGACATTAATGTACCACCAGCGCATACTGATAACCGAGTTAACTTATTCCTGCACATCAGACAGTTTAATTCAGTATCAAGGACGTCAACACAGAGATAATTTCAGCTAATGTTAAGCTTCCGGATTTTCACTAGTTTGGATCTTCCATTTCTAGTTATATCAAAATCTTTTTGGTTGGATTTGTTTGATGGGAGGAAAGAAAATGGAACTTCCATTTGGGCATCATATCGAATCAAAATCTTTGCTAACAAATTATTATTTATTTTCTGTTTTCCTAACAAAATTGATATAGCATAGGTATTAATACCTGACTTGGCAATAGGCTAGATTACTTGTTAAACGAACAAGATGGTCAGCCACCTCAGCCGCGTCTGCACAATGCCTAGAATGTACTCCAAGATAGTTAGTAGTTAACTCTGCAATTGCCTGTAACACATCAGATCTTTATTAAAGAGTAAAGACATAAAAGGAGCATTAAGGATTTTTTTCCTCTAAAACACATTTTGATTAGGAACTGTAGTACCTCATCAATAGGAGGCTTTCTCCAACCACTGCAATTTGCAGGGTCCTTGTACTCAACCCTCTCCCTAGAAGATAGATTTTTCAGCTTCAGGATGGAAACATTAATACAACAAAAATTTACCTTCTCAAACGCACTTTTTGTTTATGTAGTACATTAACTTATTGGTGAGGTAGCACATTGTATAAGATGGGTATTTGTCACGGACTCTGGAGACGTTTTCTAGAAGTTCTTTCTTAGCAACAAGATTACAAAAGTCTTCAGCCTCATACACAAGTAAAACATATGGAATCTTGGACTCTAGAGGCAATGTCTGCAATAGATAAAGGAAGATGCAAATCAAGAGTATAAGAAATACTGGATAGAGCTGATTCACATAACAATCTTCTAAGGCCCTTCAAGCCATCGCACAAGGGATTCATTTCTTTACTTCATTTAATATTTCATAATCTGTAACCCAATTCCATGACAGGTTTTATGAAGTTATCTTTGATCAATTACTTTCTAATAAGCACATATCTCATTCTTAAAGATGGAGGTTTGAAAAAAAAATTGTAACGGAAAAACTCGAGCAAAATACTTTTGACAAACAATGCCCATTTGCCTGGATCTGAAACACACAAAAGAGAGCACATTCACCGGATATTTCAAACCTCGTGCTGTTAGAATACAATCACGAGAGAGGAATCATAGTGTGGCTTCCATCACTAAGAATATGATGAAATGAAATTCGCAACAGAGAAGAGAATGATGCATAATCAGAGAAAAAACACATGTTCACAGACCAGATGGGGCATTGATAACAGTTGCAAGTACTGGATTCTAAGAATCACTTTTCCTCAAAGATATTGCAGTTATGAGATTCAAGATGCAAGCCAATTGATTAACATTGGCCTATACTACAAAATTTGACTGAATTATCGTACCTGAGCAATATCCTCTGGAAGTGTCATTGTCCACACAATGGATCTCTCAATTGGATTAGGTATTACATGGTATGTAATACCTTTCTCTTGCAACCCCGAAATGAGAAGTCCTGTAATAACTGAAGGCATTGAGTCTCCATACTTTAGTGATGAACTAGCCAATCTTGAGGAATCTGTTGAAGAATGATATGTAAAATGGAGAAATTCCTTACCTCCAAATGATCCTTCTAGCAATTTATTGTCAATCCAGGCAACAATAGATTTAAGTGCTTTATCCTTTGCCTTTGCCAATTTCTGCTTTTCCCTCTCCAACTTTTTATGCTCAGCATCTTCTGCTTTCGACGCAGCTTTCTGTAACTTCTCTTGCTGGACGATGGAAGCTAATTAAGTATTGATCCAGGGAACAGAAAACAGAAAAGTCGAGTAAGAACTAAGAAGAAACTCACTTCTTTTCTTAACTTCTTTTCCTCTGCCGCGCGGGTTTTTTCATCTTTTGACATCTTCTTTTTAGGCAACTCATCAGCAGAAAGAGATGTACTTTTAGAACTTCTGGTCTGCTTTTGTCGACGCAATTTCTCAACACTTGTATCTTCTTTCTCATGGTCAGAATCTTCCTGATTTTTGCAAGTAATCAATATGACAAAAGACGTAAGCAATTTATATATTATACAGCTTGTAACATTTATTAATAAGATCAACTCAATTGTGCACCAAACAAAAGAGAGAAGTAACCAGCAATGCCGAAAGAAACAAAAAAAACGACACATGAGAATCCCAAATACTCCCAATCCTCTAAAATAAAGCATTAGGAATCACAAAAAGAGCCAACAATGCCTTAATCACGAAGAATATGGTATGAGTGCAGATAAAGTACCTCAGTAGCATCTTTAGACATGGTAGATCGAAAACTAGGTCGCTGCATCCAGCTAGTATCATCGTCTGAAAGAAAAGAGCCACAAGCAATTTATAAGTGGAGAACCTACCCTTTGCAATTGAAGTTCATCACTAGAGCATGCATGTTTTTATAGTTGATAAAGTAGTCAACTTTGGTTCCAAGGTAAGCATATAACTATTGGTTTAGATATTCCTGTATTCAGGTCATAGTTAGCCTCACCAGAATCAGCATCACTGGATCCAGATTCCAATCGACAAGGCTTCTTCCAAGAATCAGCATCCACGGGTTCATACTTCTTTGAAGTCCCAGGTCGAGAGCTGTCTTCAGAATCCGACTCAAGAGATATTACTCGTTTACCTAATCAGATTTTCCAAAAAAACAAAACTCAGCGAAACAGTAAAACCCTAACAAAGAAACTTAAAGATTCATCAGGAATCACAAAAATTGACAAGTAGAAGAGTCTCCCCCCCAAGTATAAATTCCCCTATAAACGAAACTATTTCAACATAATCGTCGGCGAACTGAAATAACAAAGACGGATTGAGAGATTTCTCGATTAGGAACATCAAACTTACCGGAAAACTTGTTTTCGTGGTTTAAAGAAACTCCGATTCCGGAACCAAAGGAAGACTTGACGACAGTGACATCGTCAGAGAGAGTTGTCTCGTCGACGAGCAACGGAGTAGAAGCAGATCCCGGCGGTTGCTTCTGCAGTAATGGTTCAGTATCCAAGTTCAAAATCGTAGGGGTCAGATTCTTTCGAGCCCTCTTGGACGGTGGTGGAGTAGCTTCATCCTCGCCGTCGGAGATCAGAATGAGATCGCTCATTGAGTTAGTGAGAGAGAGATTTGGAGTTTGAAAATGAAGGCGGGACTATCGATAAAAAGAAATCAGTCATAAACACGATTCGTCAGAGTTTCAGATTGTTTGCCTACTCGGTTTACTTTATTCTTTTGCTGGCTAAAAAAAAACAAAAATCCATTTATTTTGGATTCTTATAATTTTTTATTTGAATTATGAATGGGGTTTTTTGCATATATTTTGGTCTTTTCCAATGTTTTTAAACCCGATCCGAACGGTGAACCGGACTACTTTCTAGGTCACCGGGTCACTGAGTCAATCAGGTTCGACCACGGGTCAATTATTACGGCCTACTTACAAAAATAACCCTTTTTAGGCTTACAAAACATTTCTTGTTTTGGTTTAACCATTTTCAATAGTTCATCACTTGATTAACCATTTTCAATAGTTCATCACTTGATTGGCATCACACATCTTCTTGCTTTGGGTGATCTAATAAGACCTTATAAAAACGTTTCACTTCTATGTGAAGAACACTTGTAATTTTTAAGAAACCTATTTTTAAATAAGCTTTTTAAACTTGATGAAATGATTTCTAAGTTTATATTGAGTTTATATAATGATTTCTAAAGCCTTTTCAAGGATAAGCAAGTGAAACATGTAGTAAGAAAACTACTTATCTACAAATATCAAAATATATTCTTACAAATTGCTTGAAGATAAGAAAGTCTATTTAAGAGAAACCTTGCAATATTAGAATTTATTCTTACAAATCTACTATATTGATATAGTGTTAAGTTTTATTTTTACTTAGTGTTGTATATTCTCTACGCGACGGCGATTCAAGAGGAGATGGAGGAGACTCTAGGGCTTTAACTCCCGACAATGAGGGGTTTTGATCGGCGGCGGTGGATACGGTTAATTCTCGGGTCCAAATGGTTTTCCAATGTATGGATCTATGTTTTACGGTTGGTTCTTATGGTTATTGGGTCGATCTCGGATCACTGGTCAGGATCAAAGAGGGCTGTCAATTCTAATCCCATCTGGTTATGGGAAGCAACAGAAGTTTCGATTGATTTTCGGCTCGGATCCATGGTCTTAAGGCTGGTTTTTGTCCCGGAACGGGGATCCGAGAGTTATGGGTGTGTGTTAGTGTTTGTCAGTGATGGTTTGCAAGTCTTATTCTTCATGGAATCTGTAAGGATTTCATTTTCGGAGTTAGAGAATAAGGATCTGTTGGATTTAGAATCTGGTCTGAATATTGTATGGGTGGATTTGGGCAAACAAGGTCACAGTTTGTTTGTGTTTTTGGGTGCTTTGCAAACCTTTCGACTGCAGGTTAATGAGGTTTACACAAGTACAGAACTGATAGAGGATTTGATCCGATTATTAGTTGGTGGTGGTGGTCTTTTGAGCCAAAACGTTGAGGTATCAGATGGGATTAAGGAAAATATAATCGGATCCCTTTCATTTTTTGCAAGGAAATTGCTGATTTCATTGAAGTTTTCTGGAAGGTTTATTTGTGGTTCAGAGTTATGGAGATTTCAAATCAGGGCCATTCTCTTAATTGCAAGAAATAGAGATCAGGAGGATTTATTTTATCAAGATCTTGAGGGTTCTTATTTTCACGATATGGTAGCGGAGAATAACCATCTTTCTGATATGGGGTTTGAGTTTCTGGAGATGCGCATCGGTGGGATACATGTTTTGGATTGGAATGTGTTGTTGTCGGAGTTTGAAATTGTTTCAGTTGCAGTCTGGTTTTGGGCTGCGGATCAGAGATACTTTCGGTTGACAACGATTGAGGGGAGACGGTCAAGTCGTGGAGTTTTGAAGGATCTAAATTTTTTTCAGGGTTATGTGTTGTATGGCGATGGTGATGAGGTGGTAGAATCTTGGGTTCTAAACTCAACAATGAGGTCTAGTTTTGCTTTGTTCGGGTATTGCTTCAGTTTTGGTTCTTATTGGTTGATCTTAATGGTCGTATCCTATGGATATGGTTTTCATATTTGGTTCTCTTTGGTTGTTTTTGGTTTTGATGTGGAGGCTTTCAATGGAGGATCGCAATGGTTTATTCCAAAGACAGAGGAGGATTCATCACAATCGGAGTTAATGCGGATGAATTTTCGCACTTATTCTTTGATGGTTTCTCAAATTTGCAGATTTGTTTCATCATCTTCAATTTGGGAAGATGTTTTCATATCTCTGTTATTCAATATCGGAGATCATTTGGTCCCCAATTGGGTTTTTGGAAAGTATTTTTTTGGGATTTGGTTTTGGAGATTCTGGTTGCAAAATTTGGGATATCATGGGAATGAAGGCCATAACCCGACGTACCATGGCACGGTGAAGGGCTTCACGGGTGGACGCAACCCACCAAAACACAGAGTTGATTAATGAAGGTTTTGAGTTGGAATTGTCAAGGGCTCGGGAATAAGGCAACTATCGGTTATCTTCGAGACATTTGGAAACAACACCGGCCAGATTTTTTGTTTCTTTCAGAAACAAAACAATCTTCTTTTTTTATGGAAAAATTTATTGGTCATTTTGGTTATAAAAATTTAAAAACGGTTGATCCTATCGGTTGTAGTGGCGGTTTAGCTCTTTATTATAATAATGATTTTAATGTTTCTATTGTTTATGAAAGTAATCGGTTAATTGATGTTAAAGCTGTGGTAAAAGGAAAAACAATTCATCTTACTTTTGTTTATGGTGACCCGGTTCCAAAAAATAGAGATCAAGTTTGGGAACGGTTGACGCGTATCGGGTTGACTAGGGATACACCCTGGTTTTTAATTGGTGATTTTAATGAGTTAACAGGAAATCATGAGAAAAGAGGTGGTACTCTACGACATGCATCTTCGTTTATCCCTTTTAATTTAATGATTCAAAATTGCGGTCTATTAGAATTTCCATATATCGGAGACTGGTTGTCCTGGCGGGGTTGGCGGGATAAAAAACCAATACGGTGTCGTTTGGATAGAGCTTTAGCGAATGAAGATTGGCATGAATTATTCTGCAACTCTTTCGTTGAATATTTACCAATGGTTGCTTCGGACCATTCACCGGTGGTAGCTACGTTATTGGATAAGATACCACGTGGGAAACGAAGCTTTCGGTTTGACAAGAGATGGATTGGAAAGGAAGGATTAATGGAGGCAATTTCAAATGGCTGGAATTCGGATTCTGAATTAGGAGAAGGAAAATTCGTGGAAAAGTTGAATAATTGTAGGCGGGCTATTTCACAATGGAGGAAAGAACTAACTCCTTATGGGCGGCAAACAATTGAGGAACTTAAATCGGAATTACATGTGGCACAAATTGATGACAGGAGATCACGAGAGGAGATTACGGAATTAACATTGCGGTTGAAAGAAGCTTATCGAGATGAGGAATTGTACTGGTACCAAAAAAGTAGGTGCTCTTGGATGAAACTAGGAGATGATAACTCAAAGTACTTTCACGCTCTAACAAAACAAAGACGCGCAAGGAATCGGATTACGGGGCTGCATGATGAAAACGGGATTTGGTCTGCAGAGGATAAAGATATTCAAAATATAGCGGTTTCTTATTTTAAGGATTTGTTTACTACAAGTAAGCCCGAGGCTTTTGAGGAGTCTTTGGCAGAAATACAAAGTCTGATTACGGATGAGGTTAATAATTTTCTAACGGCACCTGTTACAGAGAGTGAGGTGAGAACAGCTCTATTTATGATGCATCCAGAAAAATCGCCAGGGCCTGATGGTATGACAGCCTTATTTTTTCAAAAGGCTTGGATTAAAATTAAATCAGATCTTCTTGTTCTGGTTAATTCTTTTTTAGAGGATGGAATTTTCGACAAACGGTTAAATACGACCAACATTTGTCTAATTCCAAAAACGGAAAGACCGACACGGATGACGGAATTACGGCCTATAAGTCTATGCAATGTGGGCTATAAAATTATATCGAAGATTCTTTGTCAAAGACTTAAAACGGTTTTACCAAAACTTATTTCGGAAACACAATCGGCTTTTGTCGAAGGACGGTTGATTTCAGATAATATACTTATTGCACAAGAGATGTTTCATGGGCTGAGAACTAACCCGTCATGTAAGGCAAAATTCATGGCCATTAAAACTGATATGAGTAAAGCGTATGATAGGGTGGAATGGATTTTCGTTGAGAAGGTTCTAAGAAAATTGGGTTTCTGCGAGAAATGGATTAACTGGATAATGTGGTGTATTACAACAGTTCAATATAGAGTGCTCCTTAATGGGCAACCTAGAGGACTAATTGTACCAGAAAGAGGATTACGACAAGGAGACCCGTTATCTCCTTATTTATTCATCCTTTGTACAGAAGTGCTAATTGCGAATATTCGGAAAGCAGAAAGGGAAAAACTAATTACGGGTATTAAGATAGCAAATGCAAGCCCTTCGGTTTCACATCTGTTATTTGCGGATGACAGTTTATTCTTTTGTAAAGCAAATAAGGACCAGTGTGAGGTAATTTTGGGGATTTTAAAAAAGTATGAAGCAGTCTCAGGACAACAGATTAATTTTTTAAAATCCTCGATTCAGTTTGGACATAAGGTAGATGAGGATATCAAGGATGAAATCAAATCTACCTTGGGAATCACTAATATCGGTGGGATGGGCTCTTACCTCGGTTTGCCGGAGAGTTTAGGTGGATCTAAAACAAAAATTTTCTCTTTTGTCAGAGATAGATTGCAAACAAGAATTAACGGATGGTCGGCAAAATTTTTATCGAAAGGTGGGAAAGAAGTAATGATTAAATCGGTAGCTGCAGCATTACCAACTTATGTTATGTCGTGCTTCAGGCTACCAAAAACAATCACTTCTAAACTTACTAGTGCGGTTGCTAAATTTTGGTGGAGTTCAAATGGGGATTCCAGAGGTATGCATTGGATGGCTTGGAACAAGTTGTGCAATAGTAAATCGGAAGGAGGGTTAGGTTTTCGCAATGTAGACGATTTTAATTCAGCTCTATTAGCCAAACAATTATGGCGGTTGATTACGGTTCCAGAGTCTCTTTTCGCGAAGGTGTTTAAAGGGCGGTACTTTCGGA